TCTCAGAAGACGAAGGTCGTGATCGCCTAAATAGGGATACTGCATGGAGACGGAAAAGTGCCTGGCTCGCTAATGCGCGGGGCCTTACTTACAGCGGGCGCCAAATAGATGCGCCGGCAAATCAAGAGGAAAGAAGACCAAGCAACCTGAGACGGCTGACTGGGTTAGCTGGACCTTCTGAGAATGCAGAAGGAACGGCACCACCCTGGAGGCGTCATCGGGCTGACCGCGGCTCGAGCCTTAGTGCTCAAAGGTGGCGGCAGATAAAGGCAGGTCTCAAGTTGATCGGACAGCGACGCAAGGTGGATAACACAGTAGACCATGCCAAGTCGGCAGAGCTACTCGCTGAGTTGACCTCAGGAGTGCCGGCCGCCTTGATACTGGCCAGCATGTTCCAGCGAGATGAACACGGTAGCAAGCGAATTCCGATTCTTCTGGAGCAGCTCAAGGTGCGGGTCACGGACAGCAAGATTGATTCTCACTCCGGAGATCGCCATCTCGTCTTCCGTATCGAGTTGGAGTATGGTAGTGGCATGACACGGATGAAATGGATCATCTACCGCACCTTGAGGGACTTTGCAAACCTGCACCTAAAGTATAAGTTGCATTTCGGAACTCAGAAGTACATCCAGCTGCGGAACACTGAAGGGGCCCAAAATCTCCCGCGCTTCCCTCGGAGTGCGTTCCCCTATCTTAGGGGCGTGCGTGGGCTGGAAAGCGACATGGAGGATGAGGAGGATGAAGGTGGATATGAGACAGCTGCGGAGGCTACTAGTGGCAATGAAAGAGCCGCAAAAAAGCAGCAGCAAGCGCATCGTCGGTCGTCGGGTGGCCTATCTCGGAGACAGTCTACCGTAACGAACCCAGAAGCGGAGGGTGCTGCTGGGCCTTCAGGCCTTCCTGAAGGAGGGCAGGCCAGTAAGAAGGAGAGCTACCCTGAAAGACAGCGGAAAAAGCTCGAGTCCTACCTGCAGAAGTTGATCCGATTCCTCATATTCAAGCCAGATAGCAACCGTCTCTGCAAGTTCCTGGAATTGTCAGCCCTGGGTGTCCGTCTTGCGGCCGAAGGGAGCTATCACGGCAAGGAAGGCTTCCTGGTTATTCAGTCCTCCAAGGGTCTCGATTTTCGGCGCGCACTGACGCCAGGCATGGTAAAGAAGCGACACTCTCCCAAATGGTTCCTTGTTAGGCACAGTTATGTCGTCTGCGTCGACTCCCCGGAGGAGATGAACATATATGATGTGTTTTTGGTGGATCCTTTCTTCAAAATTCAAACCCAAAAGGTCAGCTTGAGAAACCAAAAGGCGAAGGAGATTGCCAAATCGGCGACAGAGTCAGCTAGGCACCCACAGCATCACACATTAAGGCTCGAGAACTCGGAGCGCAAGCTTAGACTGCTGGCCAGGAATGAGCGTCAGCTCCATCAGTTCGAAGACTCCATCCGGTTCATGGTTAACAATACCCCTTGGGCAAGGCCGAACCGGTTTGACAGTTTTGCGCCGGTGCGACACAAGTGCTTTGCACAGTGGTTGGTGGATGCGCGTGATCACATGTGGGTTGTGTCGCGCGCGATCAACCAAGCGAAGGATGTCATCTACATCCATGACTGGTGGCTGAGCCCTGAGCTTTACATGCGTCGGCCTGCGGCCATCAGCCAGAAATGGCGTCTAGATCGCCTTCTCCAGCGAAAAGCTCGTGAAGGAGTCAAGATCTTTGTCATCATGTACCGCAACATCAACTCTGCTATCCCTATCGATTCGGAGTACTCCAAGTTTTCCCTCTTGGATCTGCATCCAAACGTCTTCGTGCAGCGATCACCAAATCAATTCCGACAGAACACCTTCTTTTGGGCGCACCATGAAAAGCTCTGTATCATCGACCACACCTTGGCTTTTGTAGGAGGTATCGATCTTTGCTTTGGCCGTTGGGACACACCACAACATCTCCTCACCGACGACAAACCCACTGGGTTTGAGACCCCGGATGGCCCGAAGGATGCGGATCATTGCCAGCTCTGGCCAGGCAAGGACTACTCGAATCCGCGTGTTCAGGATTTCTACGACCTGGACAAGCCCTATGAGGAGATGTATGATCGAAATGTAGTTCCCAGGATGCCCTGGCATGACATTTCCATGCACGTCGTCGGACAACCGGCTCGAGATCTTACGCGCCACTTTGTCCAACGGTGGAACTACATCTTGCGCCAGCGAAAGCCAACACGCCCCACGCCATTTTTGTTACCGCCGCCCGATTTCGAGCCGGCTGATATGGAGGCCCTGGGTCTGGATGGTACCTGTGAGGTCCAAATCTTACGTTCGAGTAGTATGTGGTCGACTGGTACCCCCGACATCACGGAGCATAGCATTATGAATGCTTATGTTAAGCTGATCGAGGAGTCTGAACACTTTGTATACATCGAGAACCAGTTCTTTGTTAGCACCTGTGAAATTGATGGTCGGAAGATTGAGAACTCGATCGGTGATGCTCTTGTGGAACGAATCACCCGAGCAGCAAAGAACAAGGAGGCATGGCGTGCCGTGATTGTTATCCCACTGATGCCAGGCTTTCAGAACACTGTGGATAGTGAGGGTGGAACGAGTGTCCGGTTGATCATGATGTGTCAGTATCGCAGCATTTGCCGTGGGGAGACATCCATTTTCGGCCGGCTGCGAGCGTTAGGGATCGAACCTGAGGACTACATCCAATTCTTCAGCCTTCGAACCTGGGGAAAAATCGGCCCTCAAGACCAGTTGGTCACCGAGCAGCTTTACATCCATGCCAAGTGCATGGTTGTTGATGACCGAGCTGCCATAATTGGGTCTGCAAACATCAACGAACGCTCCATGTTGGGGTCTCGCGATTCGGAGGTGGCAGCGGTGGTGCGGGATACGGACATGATATGGTCATCCATGAACGGCCGTCCTTACCTCGTGGGACGGTTCCCACACACCCTCCGTATGCGTCTCATGAGGGAGCATCTTGGCATTGACGTCGATGAGCTGATGGAGCACTCCATGGCAACCGAGGAAGAGCTCCGCCGGATCGAAATTGTCGAAGAAGGGTCGAAGCCTCCCGAAAGCCAGCTCGACTCGGAATCGTTGATGCTGGAGAAGAAAGACGAAAGAGATATGATGGAGCGTCGGCATCGACTTCAGGACGAGTTCCTCTCACGGTCTGAAGACATGCACAGCTTCAACCATGACGTTGACTGGGAGCAGGGAAATAACCCCAATCTCAAGTCGAATCGGAAACTCACTGCCGACCCGAGAGTGACCTCTAATGCCGAACACAGGAAGGACGTGGACGGCTTTGGTGCCGATAACCTCACCAAAGCCGTGGGGGCTGGCTTGGGCGATGCCCGCGATTCTGAGTTCCTGGGCCCGAAGACAGAGGTCCTAATTTCTCCCGTTGCATCCGAGGGCAAGGGCACTATCCAGCAGCCGAAACAACCCTCGCAACGGAATACCCACCGAGCAAACGCTGGTGGCGATAGAGAAGGCAATCATAGTCTCAGTCCCGTCGTGGAGCATGGTAACGAGGGGGCACAGGTCGTGGAGGGATTGCCCGCTGTTCGCCATCCAGCACTGCCGGTGGAGCAGGAGTCTGAGAGTAGCCACAGCGGGGTCCAGGCGGCTTCGCGGGATAAACATGACCCTATTAAGTCCTCTCACTTGTTCTCTTCTGACGTAAAGCACGTTTTTATCGACAAGGATTGTATGCGTGACCCTGTGATCGACTGCTTCTACCTGGATACTTGGCAAGCTGTAGCGGATAAGAACACCAAGATTTACCGGAATGTGTTCCGCTGCATGCCGGACAGCGAAGTGAAGTCTTGGAAAGAATATAAAGAGTATGCTGCCTATGCAGACCACTTCGCAGAGATGCAGAGTCAACACAGTACCAAAGCATACCAACCCACCAGCCAAAGACAAACCGGACCGCCTGGAACGGGGGCCAGCATGGCTGGGGCAGCTTCCGGACTCAAGCATACTCTATCGGTCCATGCTCAGAGTGCCGAGGGAGCTAAAGTGGAGGCCAAAGATTCACCTGTTGAAAAGAATAATGCTCGTTCGACAGAAGCCGGTCAAAAGCCGGACACGCAACATGCCGAACACGGAACTTCTGACGGGCCTTTGCCAATAAATGAGAAATCGACGATGAAAGGAGCAGATGGGACGGCGACGGGGCACATGGCAAATGGACGACATGAGGAAAGTGGCTCTTCTGGTGAAGATCTGGAGAAGCAGCGATCTGAACCGCCGCTCGTGGATTATTCCGAGGCTTTGAATCGGAATGCCACCGGTCAGTCTCGACGACGCCGACGAAGGGCGACGACGCTCGGATCAAAGCGGGAGTTTCACGCGACAGATGAGGTGATGGACAAACAGCGAGCTGAAGAGCTCTTGAATCACGTACAGGGACATTTGATTCTGTGGCCCTACGACTGGTAAGGGATTCGCTGTGCTTGCATCTTTGATATCCCGTTGCAGCCTACTGACTTTTCCACTCACATAGGCTCGAAAAGGAAGAACAGGGCGGAAATTGGCTTTACACGCTGGATCAGATCTCTCCGCTGGAAATCTAGTAAGTCCAAGCCCGGAATGGGACACAAACGCATCAAATGCTAACCACGGAGCAGCAACTGAATCGATGTCGACGTGTGTCCACTCAATGTACTACTTAATACTATATTGTTTCACACTTGGCTGATCCACCTTTTCCATCTTGGACCGATGCCTCTTCTTCTACGATTTTCACAGCTACTTCTTCTCCAACCCCTACACCATCATTTGAGGTCATCCCGTGTAATGTTTGGGTGGCTGGTGGTTTTCAGCTCACTGCATATCAAGCGGGCGTTTTCTACATTCAGGCGTTCAATTCTCTCCATGTCATCATGTCACTGATACCTTACCACGCATCCTGGTGTCCTTGCACGTGTGTCGGCAGCACCAGGCACTGTCTAATAGATTTGGATGTTAATTAATCTTTTTTGAGGGAAGAGTGTATATACATAGAGGTGTTTCCCATGCAAGGGGTTATAGTACATGCTTGATTGCGATCGAAAAAGTAGAGTTAGATCATAAAGGAGCACAAGATTTGCGTCGGCGATACGTCACGTGGAATCGACCGTCCCGGCAGTAAGCCGATCGCGCATTTGACTGAATTCGTCAAAGTTCACCTGCAGGATCGAGTTCAGCAGACTGTGATCGAGAGTTACAGGTGCGCACTGATCCCAGTGATCAAGAGCGGTACGAAGACGCTCATGAGCGCGCGCAAACGCCGCCCGCAGTTGTGGAGTATCCAGACAAGAACGGCCCAGGTCATCCAAATAATTAGTAGGATTCTGCAGACATAGCCGTGTAGCCGCGGCTGTGTTGCCCATGGACGCGGCGGTTTTCTTCATATTGATGATGGCTCGCTGACCGCGCAAATGGGCGGGGATCTCGTCCGGCTGACTGGAGAACATCCGGCTGGCGGAGCGGACAGTATCCGCATCAAAGGTACCCGGAGGATCGACGGCGATTCCGGTCGTCGTGAGATCGACTTCCGTGCCATACATTTGGAGAAAGGCGAGAAGGCGCTCGCCCAAACCGTCAGAACGTTGGAACTTGCCGTGATTCAGCTTTAGGAATGCTACGACGAGCATGACTAGGGCTTCGGGTTTAAGGGATCTCGGGCCATGGCCACATAGGCCTTGAGATTCGAGGAGAAGTCGCGCGGCCATGTAGAGAGGTCGGACGGAGGGGTACTCGGCACAGTAGTCTTGAATGTACTCAACCATGGGGGGGATGTCTTCTCCGCAGGAGAAGCGTACGCGAAGACCCGTCTCGTGATGGACGGCGGTGGATGGGTAGATGATGTTGAAGGATTGGAAGTCCTGGAGGGTCCGTTCAACATCTCGGAGCAGACGCTTGTGCTGAGTGAGGATCTGCGGACGCGTGGCGCTTGGTTTTCGAACCTGTTCGGTGAATCGTATCAAGTCTGGGACGGGGAGGAGAAGGTCCAGATTGGAGTGGCTCATGGCTAGCCCGGTTCGCCACGATCCGATGATACAGGGGGCACGGGGCGCAGTCCCTTCCAGAAGACCAGCTATATGTGCGGTTATCCGATGAACCCTCTCCTGCTCTGGTGGGGTCGGACTGAGGTATTTTTCAAGTGCCTTGATCTCCACATCTAGCTGGGAGAGGCCGTCACTGAAGGACCGAGTTGAATCCACTCCACCCAGCCATGGACATTGAACTGACCGGCCCTTTTTAGGGTCAGCATCCCAATGTATCAGCTGGCTTGCGTATGAAGGCCGGGATGGCGGGTGGGACTTCTGAATGGAGCGAGATTTCCTCCTTGGGCTTTTTGGGGTCGAGGAAGACCCCAAAGTTACATCTGTGTTGGGGCCGTTCGATGGCCCATCGCTTGTTGCAACCTCCGCAGGTGACTGTTCAGAATCATCTGGTTTATTCGGTATCCTGCGAATTAAACTAGCTCGATTCGAGGAACGGTGTGCTTCGAGGGTTTTTTGTAGACTATTTTTGAAGATTGCCGGGTTCTTGAGAGCCGAGCGGGTTTGGTGGAAGTATCGCGGCTTCAGCGGAGAGGATATAGAGGGGGCCAAATAAGCAGCAACGGACGAGGAAGAGGAGGAGAGGAGATATCGATTAGAGGAGCAAAGAACGCGCATGACCGCGCGTTCAGCAGGGCAATGGAGGCATTGCGAAGGAAGTGTTGCAACCGGGGGCATAAACCGGAGGAAAGGAAAGTATACCGGGGGGGGGTGTATGCTTGGGACTGGCTGGCGCAGAGTTCCGGACAAACCGAGTCGATAGGAATGAATGGAGGGTAAGGAGGGCGGATGATCTCGGACGGGATGCTGGGATGTTTCGAGGAAGACGAAGAAGCGAGGCTAGAAGTCGAGGCAGGAATTGAATAATGATGATAATGTCGCAAGTATCGGATAGACTAACAGGAACTAGTGATGAGTTACCCGAATAAGGATAGTACTGTCAGGTGCTGTTATTCCCACGTGACTGCGGGCCGTGATCTGGCCAGCCCTAGCATTGATCGACTGGTTATGGTTAGTTAGGTCTTCACATGTCACACTCCCCCCCCTCCCCCCTGTCGGGGAAATGGCGATCTCAAATCTGCAAATCGGATCTCACTGAGCCACTGTAGACTTCAACCATTCTTTGCCCTCTTCTTCTTCTTGTTTCCCGATCTTAGCTTCTATTATTACCTTTAGTCCTTTACATATAACCCAATTTTACCAGTGGATTCAACGGGCGTAATGACAGGCAATCACATCCCATGACCTGGACCAATCTCGATGGGCTAGTTCAAGGATCGGGCAAGTTTCATCCGGCATCTTCTCCCACATGCCTGAACACTCTTGCGCGCTTTGCTCTTGGTTTCGGCCGATGCAAGACACGCTACCTAATGAGTTAGACACTTCTGTAGAAGGACTAGATGATTTAGGTTCGGTTAGGCACTGTTGCTATTCCCTGGGCCCAACTTCCCGGGTTATTGTCTAGTCTGCCAACGGACTACTGTACCTGCTCGTGTTGACCTGACCTGCCTTACTCTACAACTACCGAAAGAAATATCGACGAGATATTATGTGTTTGTATTCTGTAAGAGTGGCAGTATTTTTTCTAGTGGTACGGAATAGTAGAATTAATTGGAGTAGATTGGGGAGGGGGGGGGGAGAGAGAGAGAGAGAGAGAGAGAGAGAGGGGGGGGGGGGGGGGGGGGGGGGGGGGGGGGCGAATAACAGGTGAACCATTTTTCCTCCTGTTCGTCCGAACTGCCGTTTGGGGGGATCATGACGTATCTGGGAGAAAAAAAAGAATATCTGGGTTACTGTTATGGAGATGGCGGGGACCCAATCCATTGCTTGCTATTATTCTCACCAAAACATCATCATAACCATCATCGCCATCATCGTCCATTATTAGTCTTATTTTTTCCTCTTACTACTACTTCCCTCCATGGCAGACCAAACCCACCACGGACACGGAACCGGTTTCCCTGACCTTGTTCGGTTTCAATAATCATCAACAACTTCTTCTTCCTTTTCTTTCCCCCCTATAATCCCCACCCGCTATACGCCTTCTTTTTCCTTCCATCAGCCCTCGCCGCCGAGTCTGGACCATCCTAGGCCCATCCCTCCCCTCGATCCCTTCGCTGCCTCTCTTCCCCCTTCGGCGTCCTTCTATCTGAACCCGTGCATGAGGGATTGGTTGTTTTATAAGCAAACCCTGCCGACAGACCGCCGACCAGCTGATACGACTGCTTTGGTAGTTGGCTTGCTTTGCCTGCATTAAGTTGCTTGATTGTCCGATTGGGGGTGATTGGCTTGCTATTCCGGGATTGTTCTGGGGGAAGTTGGGATCAAGTTCCAGCAAGTCTGTTGGAAAGAACGCTACTAGAACTTCGGGGGTTTTCTGACTTCTGAGATATTTTCCTTGCCGACATCCCCGAGTCCCTCCTAAATCAGTGGGACTATACATATCCAGTGATAGATCACTTGCGCTTTTCATCAACTTTTCACGATTAACTACCATAGTTATCGTTTCTTCTTGGAGGTGAGTACAAATAGCTCTTTCTTATCATAGTACTATCTTTCCATGTTCCCGCTTCACCGCCTCCCTGCTTGGTGGTGGTAAATGGTGGCTGCTGCTGCTGCTGCTCTCTGCCCTGCTTTCTGTGTGTCTCTCTCTCTCTCTCTCTCTCTCTCTCTGTCTCTTCTCCCTCCCTCCCCTCCCCCCCACTTGCGTCTTGTCTCTTGCTCTCACATCATAATTGAATCTCTTACCCACTAAACCAACTTCTCCCTCCTTCCCTTCCCTCTTCTTATCGTCACACTCTTGTTAACCCCCATTCTTTCTCTTTTCTGACGGAGGGAATTGATCATTGTGCCATCGTTCATCTTTCCTTACAGTACCATTCACTAGTTCCTTTGCTCCCCCCTCCTCCATCCCCCCAATGGCCTAGTCCGCCTTCTCTCTTCTGGCCCGCTCTCTTCCCTGTTGGCAACCCCACCAAACACCCTCTTTCTCTCTCTCCATACATACCAATTCATTCCCAGGTACTCCAGCTTATCTCCCTCCTCCCCCCCTCCCTCCCTAATCTACACTTCCCTTTTCACCCCCAAACTAAAAAAAAGGTACTTTCATTGCTTTTTGCCCTTTCCCTTTTACACCCCTCCCCCAAACCCAACACAGTCTTGCCCATCGTTGCCATTGTTATTCTTCTTATCACCGGAATATCAAAATTCACCAGATTTCTGCCCCTAATATTTCATGGTTTGCAACTAACTGATTGCGCTATTCACCAGATTGACTGCAGATTGGTTCCCGTTCTGCCTGTCATTGACTGACTGACTGTGATTCCTCGCTCCGCCGCGTCCGTTTTCGTCATGGCCGCCGAACAACGGTCTGCCGCCATGCCCGATGGCCAGCCCAATCCGGGCCCCATTGGCTCTGGCCTGAATGTTCTGGGCGAAGATGCGTTTGTGAATGCCTCAAATGCCACCCCGGATCTGCGGGCTGAACAGACCCAGCCCTCCACCCTCCCCGATGCCCCTTCCTACTTTTCTGATACCCCGGGGAACCACGCTTCTTCCGTCCCTCCAGGTGTCGCTTCCCCCATCACTCCCTCCCAGGCTGTCAAGGACGCCAAATCGGGTCCTGAATTGTTGCGCCGCTTGAGCCTGATAGAATCTCCCATCATGCTGGACGCCGACCCCCGCGAACAATACCCCAGCCTGCGTCTTACCGGCCGAGTGATCAGTGCTGCATTCTGTATCCCCTATAAGCTCTATCTCCATCCCGGGTCCGACTGGGTAAGTCACTTCCCCCACCAGATCACTCGTATTTTGAGGGGGGGAAATCAGTAAGAGGACTTAGCTGATCGAACGGGATTGTAGGAGCTGAAACCCCGTCCGGGGACCTCCGCTCTATTTGATTCAATGGCCTATCTTGGTTCTGATGAATCGAGATGGTCCCACACCCTCGTTGGCTGGACCGGCGAGGTCGAGCCGGTCCAGGAGACAGCGATTCCTTTGCAACAGATTCCCATCAACACAAGTGCCAAGGTGCCGACCACCCTCAACGGTTCGGCCTTGCCCCTCAATAAAGCTGCCGCACCGGTGCCTGTGGATGCCAGCCAACGCCTACCCAGTCATCCTCTCCTTGACGGCTTCGAAGTGGACCTGGAGGACCGAGAAAGGCTCGATCAGCAGCTGAGCTCCAGCCGCTACGGTAAGATCGTGCCGGTCTGGTTGACCGGTGAATCGGAACATCCAGATGACACGGTCTTCTTGGACGACCAGGGTCGGTGGAGGCGTTATGCCGAGCGCGAGCTCTACCCACTCCTTCATTACAAACAGCACGGTCCCACGGACGGCAAATCGGAACGTAAGTGGTGGGCAGACTACGTCCGCATGAATCGTCTCTTCGCCGACCGCATTGCGCAAGAATACAAGGAAGGAGATATTGTCTGGATCCATGACTACCATCTATTCCTGGTCCCGAGTATGCTGCGCCAACGCATCCCCAACATTTACATTGGTTTCTTCCTGCATGCGCCATTTCCCAGCAGTGAGTTCATGCGCTGCTTGGCCAAGCGCAAGGAGGTGCTCACGGGGGTCCTGGGGGCCAACATGATCGGCTTCCAGACGTTCTCATACTCTCGTCACTTCTCATCTTGCTGTACACGTGTCCTTGGCTTTGATTCCAACTCGGCCGGGGTAGATGCCTACGGTGCTCATGTAGCAGTGGATGTCTTCCCGATAGGTATCGATACCAAGACGATTCAAAAGGCAGCCTTCGGGTCTGCCGAGATAGAAAAGGCAGTCTTGGGTATTCGCAAGCTTTATGCCGGAAAGAAGATTATTGTCGGCCGTGATCGACTGGACAGTGTACGTGGTGTGGCCCAGAAGCTGCAGTCGTTCGAGGTCTTCCTCGAGCGGTACCCTGAATGGCGGGATAAGGTGGTCCTGATCCAGGTAACCAGCCCAACCAGCGTCGACGAGCAGAAAGAAGAGAACAAGATTGCCAGTCAGGTCTCTAATCTGGTTTCTACCATCAATGGCCGGTTCGGATCGTTGAGCTTTGCCCCCGTCAAGTACTACCCGCAGTACCTCTCCCCTCATGAGTACTTCGCGCTGCTGCGTGTCGCTGATGTCGGACTCATCACCACGGTCCGCGACGGCATGAACACGACTAGCTTGGAGTATATCATCTGCCAACAGAATAACTATGGCCCCTTGATCCTCTCCGAGTTCTCTGGTACGGCGGGGACTTTGTCCAATGCCATTCATATCAACCCATGGGATACCGTCGGCGTGGCGGGAGCCATCAACAAAGCCCTAACCATGTCTCCGGAAGAGAAGATGTCACAGCATCAGAAGCTTTACAAGCACGTCACTGCAAACACAGTCTCGTCCTGGTCAAAACAGTTTGTCACTCGTCTCCTCACCAACCTCTCGTCATTTGACCAATCCGTGGCAACGCCGGCCCTCGATCGGGCCAAGCTGGTGCGGCAGTACCGTCGGGCTCGGAAGAGACTATTCATGTTTGACTACGATGGTACACTTACTCCGATTGTCAAAGACCCGCAAGCTGCGATCCCCTCGGATCGGGTGCTGCGTACTATCAAGACCCTCGCCGCAGACCCGCGAAATGCGGTCTGGATCATCAGTGGACGTGATCAAGCCTTCTTGGATGAGTGGATGGGCCACATCCCCGAGCTAGGACTGAGTGCAGAGCACGGATGCTTCATTCGCAAGCCCCACTCGGATGACTGGGAGAATCTGGCCGAACGGAGTAACATGGGCTGGCAGAAGGAGGTCATGGATACGTTCCAGCACTTCACAGAACGGACACAGGGCTCTTTCATCGAAAGAAAGCGCGTGGCCCTGACATGGCATTATCGCCGTGCGGATCCGGAGTATGGAGCGTTCCAGGCTCGCGAATGCCGGAAGCAGCTTGAAGACACCGTCGGGAAGAGATGGGAAGTTGAAGTCATGGCCGGGAAAGCCAACCTGGAAGTTCGGCCGACGTTCGTTAACAAGGGATTCATCGCGGCTCGCCTCGTCAATGAGTACGGCACCGGCCCTGGGCAGGCTCCTGAGTTCATCTTTTGCTCCGGCGACGACTTCACAGATGAAGGTAAGGCTACTTTCCTTTTCATTCTCAGCTCTTTATTTCTCAATTCTTTTCCACCTTATGTGCCCTCCCGTTATTCCATCTTATTCTACATTCACTAATAATTCCCTGTTATCCACAGACATGTTCCGTGCCCTACAGAAATTCGACCTGCCACAAGACCACGTCTACTCGGTCACTGTTGGTGCAAGCTCGAAGCAAACGGCCGCCAGCTGGCATCTCCTGGAACCTGCCGACGTGATTGAAACTATTTCGATGCTCAACAATAGCTCGTGCTCCCAAGAGTATTGAGGGTCTGTTAATACTGCACTGGTGGTCTTTCTCGAAGCGGGGACAGGGTCTCCGCGTAATCGCCCTTGATTTCCACTTAACATTTGCGATTATTGATATATATTTCTGCCATTCTTTTTCCAGGCGTAGAGGTGATGCTGTGGTGGCGGCGATTTGTTAGAGGGCGTCACGAAGCGGGTATGCATTCGGCATTTGGATTCTGGGGGGTCGTTCAGCCATTAGCGAGAGTCCAGCATGGGGGTTTCTCCTACCTTTTTTGTTTCTCTTTGTCTTTTCCCTTGTATTCTTTTCAACAGCCCCTGCCTACCTTCCAACCGTTGATCTTGAACATTAAAAACTCGAGCATGACTGCTTGACGCTCGAGACAGACATCATGGATGGATACCTGTTTATGGTGCTTTTAATTGACTATATATAGATGGGCCGGCCTCGAGAGGCAGATGCCTTCCATTGTTATGATGCGTTAGAACAATATAGAACCCCGATGAAGGGCACGATTCAACAAATAATTCGTCTCCCGCTCACGACTCGTAATATGGCCAGTACTAAGTCAGTAGACGTCTTGTGAGTTGCCGCTGAGAACAAGATGGGTCGTTGGTGCCGCGAGAGGACTACGACTATTACGACTACTACTAGTACTACCACCACCAGGAGAGTAATGTATCAACAACCCATTGAGGAAATATAGTGCAGGACAGGGGGGGCTTCTTTCTGGTAGTTCGTACTTCAATGACGTTGTTCGAGTAGAAAAAAAAAATGAAAGCCGGGCAGAAGTCCGCCGCACGTGCCTTCGTATTATTCGGAGAATATGCTTAACATACATAATACATAAAGAAAGAAAGGAAAGTATGGAAGAGTAACTAAGAAGCCGGACTGTATCGGCAATTTAACTTCTTTATTCTTTCTCTTTCCCCCTCCCCCCGCCTCTTATTTCTTCTCCAATCCTTTGGCAACTCTTCCTGAATTGTTCCTCTGTCCAGGGATGACCCATCACATCGGCAATGGTATTATTCCCCCTCCCCCAACCAGCTAGTAAAATAGCTCAATGGTGGGGAGGGGATCCACCTGCCAAATTTCCCCAATCCCAAGCAAGAATCCTGGAGCCCCCGGGTTTTGGGACCGTGGTGCACCATGACAATAGGGCGTCGAAGTAACCAAGGCCTAACTATCGCCAATGTATTCCGGGTGTCGCTTCCTGTTGGATCCCAAACTGATCGTCCTCGTTCTTTAGCCGATTCGGCACAGCATTGCCGACCTTACTCCCCCGCCATCATGGCGGTTGGCTTTCGGTCTTCTTTGCGAGCCGTTCAAGCCCTAGCTCCTAATTTTCTAGTCTTACTTCGCTTCCTGACTCACGCAGCCTAACCGTCGTTCCTTTATCTATCTCATTCCCTAACAGGGCTGATCCTCGAAAAGGTCCTTGGCAGGAAGACGCTTCCAACGCTGCTATAACCAATTGCCGCCGATGCCGTCTGCTGGACGCGCCTTGAGTCATACGCACATATCAACTCGCTTGATCTCTATCAAGTCGATAGCTGGGGCATCGATGCATACTTCATAGTGCCTGATCCTTGACCGTTTTCTTTCTCTATCCTCTTTCTGTTTCAGATCCCATTCCCACTTCTCGTTGATTAGTCAGGCGCGCGCCATCACTTCGACTGATTGCTTCCACAATCCAGAGTGTTCTTGCCCAGCCCATCTGGTCGTGTGTAAGCCAAATAATTAATAAAGAAGCAGGGTGCCTCGCAGAGTGGCTGGCTCGTCTCTTAACTACTAGTCTACCTGCTTTCATTTACCAGGAAACATCACCCTTTGATATACACGAGACTCCCAGACATAAAAAAACTTTTCGAAAATCTGTGATATCCCTTCGGGGTATACGTTCCCTCAAGATGTCCGCTAGATCATCGCATGATACCCAGCAAGACTTGACCATCTCCGCAAATGGGGAGAAAAGTGGACCCAGTCAGGCTGCCAACTCTCCCGTTCCTGAACAATTCCTTCCGCTAGGGAATGAGAAGGGTGATGAAGAAGTAGGCCTTGGCCCCGAAGCACAAAAGGAATTGTCGAAAACCCCGACGAATGTTAGCCATGTTGGCGCACTGGCCAGTAGAACCTTGACCCTAGTCCGCACCCGAGAGTCTGGAAGGGACCTGGGACCTCCCCCCGATGGTGGCTTCAAGGCATGGTCTCAAGTAGCCTTGGCTCATTTCGTCATCTTCAACACCTGGGGCTACATCAATAGTTTTGGTGTGTTCCAAACCTACTATACCGAGACGCTAGGTCGCACCCCGTCCGATATCTCCTGGGTAGGCAGTATCCAGATCTTCTTACTCTTCTTCGTCGGCACCTTCTCTGGACGCGCAACCGACGCCGGCTATTTCAAAGCCATCCTGACCATTGGGGCTGTCCTGGAGTTATTTTGCATCTTTATGACCTCCCTGTGCACGCAGTATTGGCAGCTGTTCCTGGCTCAGGGCGTTGGTCAGGGCATCGGTTGTGGACTGATGTTCTGCCCGACCATTGCGCTGATGCCGACTTACTTTACCAAAAACCGAGCGATTGCGATCGGAATTGTGGCCTCGGGCTCTGCCACCGGCGGCCTGGTTTTCCCGGCGGTGGTCATGCGACTCCTCCCTCAAATCGGATATGGCTGGACCATGCGGACCCTGGGGTTCATCTCTTTGGCGACGCTGATTCCGTGCCTGGTGTTTCTTCAGCAACGACTGCCTCCGCGTCGCAGCGGACCCCTCGTCGAATGGGGGGCGTTCAAAGAGGCGCCCTATGCTTTGTTCGCCTTGGGGATGTTCCTCAACTTCTGGGGCCTCTATGTCGGGTTCTTCTACATCGGGAGCTTCGCCCGCAACATCATCGGGGTCTCCAACTCGACGTCGATCGACGTCCTTTTAGTCATGAATGGTGTTGGTCTGCTGGGCCGGTTGATTCCCAACCTGATGGCCGATCGGTACACGGGACCGTTGAACATGTTGATCCCGTTCAGCCTGGTGACAGGAGTGGTCGCGTTCTGCTGGGCTGCGGTTCACACTTACAACGAGATGTATGCCTTCAGTGCGTTCTATGGGTTGGCAGCCGCAGGAATCCAGTCGCTCTTCCCGGCCACCCTGAGCACGCTTACCACGGATCTGAAGAAGACCGGAGTGAGAATGGGCATGGTGCTCAGTGTAGTGGCTGTGGCTGCGCTGATCGGTACCCCCATTGCCGGGGCACTGGTCGATCGGGATGATGGGCAATATCTGTATGCGCAGATGTTCATGGGCAGTGCGATTCTGGCGGGGACGCTGACCTTGATTGCGGCGAGAGTGACGAAGCTGGGGCTGACCTGGCAACGAGCGTAGCCAGGATGACTGCCGCGGTGGGTGAGCAGTACTTGAAGCTGAGCCAACTGTACATACAGTAGACAATTGCAGTGAAGCAGTAAATAAAAGTGTATTAACTAGAATAACCAAGTTAAATATGACACCAATGAACGCCCGCGCCTTAGTCAGGCTCCCCGCCTGTTCTGGGCAACTGGCGGCGTGACTCAGAGCTGTTTTTGTACAATAGTCAGGGTTTAGGGTGTGGTTTTCTCAATATTTGTAACCAGAGACCAGAAAGTCCATTGAAATCTCATTCCACAGTTCGGTCTCCAACTGGAGTACAAAGTACTAGTAGTTATTATTTGGCGCAGCTTCTCTGCACTGGATCGTGTAAGTGTCGGTCGATCTGGTGGTACTTCCCCGCCGCAGCCCCTCCGAGAATGAATGCCTTTGTTTGACTCCTCCATCCCTCTCTTCTTCATCGCTCAGCCCTCTCCTCGCTGACTCCAGATTCTTTTTGCCAGCAGGGGGAAACGTAAACCCTATTCAACCTTGACTCCTCTCCTCGACTCTGAACCCCATCTACTCGCCCTACTCCCCACCCAGCATACATCATGGCTCCCCGCGGTCGCGGAAAGTTCTCCAAGCCCTCTCGCGGAGGTACGTTTTTTAAACCTTCAGGGCCACCACAAACCCCAGCTCCCCGGGACCAACTAACCATACACACAGGCGGAAAACGCTTCAGTCGAGACGTCCAACCCGTCGACAAAGACGGTAACCCTGTTGGCCTATGGCGGGTACGCACCTCCCCCTCCTGCAAGAAGAAAATCCTCCTAACCAGAAGGCCTAAACAAAACACAGGACGCAGACGAGGACGCCCCCTCCTCAATAGACGAAGACGAAGAAGAAGAAGGCAGCACATCCGAGTCAGACTCGGACTCCTCTGAAGACGACGACAACAACAACACCCCATCCTCCTCAAAACCTGGCCCTTCCTCTATCCCACCTACGGCAGATACCACCGCCTCAGCAGCCCCCGAACTCACCCGTGAAGAGCGCCGCGCCGCAGCCAAAGCCAAAAAGCAAGCTGCGCAAGCCCGGCGACTCCAAACCGCGGCGCAACCGGGCGATTTACCCCCGTCCTCATCGGATGAGGAGGACAACTCTGACGGATCGGATGGCGAGGATGAGGATCTACCTGCGAACCCGAACCATACAAGTAAATCTCGGTCTCAGTTGAGTAGTAGTGCGGCCGCTGGTGCTGGTGCTAGTGCTAGTGCTGGTAAGGATCAACAGGATCTGTCGCAGCTTTCGCGACGGGAGAGGGAAGCTATCGAGGCGCAGCAGGCCAGGGAACGGTATATGAAGTTGCATGCGGAAGGGAAGACGGAGGAGGCGAGGGCGGATTTGGCGCGGTTGGCGCTCGTGAGGGAGAAGAGGGAGCAGGAGCGGTTGAGGAAGGAGGTTGAGAAGGAGGAGAAGGCTGAGGCGGCGAGAAAGAGGGCGGAGGAGTTGAAGGCGAAGTTGGGGGCTAAGGGGGGTGGGAAGAAGGGGAAGAAGGGGAAATGAATTGATGGGGTTTCATTTGGTTTTTTTAGATTTGGTTACTTATTGAGTTGGTTTTGGCTTGATGCCTGTGCAATTGGATAAATTCCGAGTATCCATTTTCGTGGAATAAGAGAAGGGGGTATTGTGGGAGTAACAGTAGCAGAAGTGAGTCTATGATAGACGCTATATAACCCAGCTATGCTGTACAGTATGAACCATATGTCTTTTGCCTGCTCTCATGTGGAGCAGAGTATGAAAGGAGACCACCAGAAACGAACCTATGCAATCATTATGCTCCCGAACCCATTCCCTGAACGGACAGAACAGACATAAAAATAGACCAAAGATCACCATATACACCGGCGCCGAAACGGAAATGACAAATTACTTGCACAAGAATGGGTAGAACAGGTGTGTATAACATGTCATGTGCGGGGAACAATCATGCACCCCAGAACAGTCCTTCCACCCCGTGGCCTTGCGCCACTATCCCCCATCCGCAAATCAAGCTCACCAGCCACAGCACCGCAAATGCCAGGATGGGGAGCAGCAGAAGCTCCGTGTTGTGCAGAAACGGAAGCGCATTGTATCCGAGGAACGTGATGTAGGTGTAGTAGGTTACAGCCGACAGGTAAAGTGTGTTTCCAAGGAAGGTGGCCAGGGCGTTGCTGGGGCTGCGCTGGAGCAGCGGGAGGACCAGGAACTGGACCACGTAGAGATGCAGATACAGAGGAAAGAATGCTCGATTCGATACCTAGTGTCTGCGATTAGCCGGTGCTGCCACTGGGCCAGTATGCTCTAGGAGTGTCACTTACATCAAAGCAGTATCCGAATTCAAGCTGGTCCTTCTCTCCCGGCTGCGTGAATAGGCCTTGCGCTGCGCCGCGTCTCCGTCCACGCCCGCCGCGGAATCCCGTCAGCGATGCGGCTGCGCCATCGGGCCCGAACAACCGCGGGATCGCGAAGTACCCGACTGTCGAGACCAGCAAGGACGAGCCGATGAAGTGGACAAAGATGAAGATTAACGAGAGCCGGACAATGGAGCCGAAGGAGGGCGCATAGGCGAGTCCCCACGCGAGGGCGGTAAGTAGAAGGAAGAAGGATAGGAGGTAGGTAAATGAAGGGTCCGGACGGTGCCAGGTGTTTTTCGTTTCTGTGCGAGGTTATTAATATAGGTGTTGATGAGCGTGTGTCAGATCCCGGGGAAAGCGGGCCATATCGGCAAGGTGCGGTGTTGGGGGCAATGACATACGTTTCTGCGGTGAAGCTTGGGTCAGCATAACCGGATGCGCGCTATGGAACAGGAGGCCGGCATCAACTCACATGGTAATAGATTGATTTGAAGACCTTCTTCGGCGCAATCAACAAAGATGTCATCTCCCAGATAGCCATCTCGAAGTCCATTTGCGGGAACTTGAACAGCCTGTAAGCCAGCCAGGGGCATCAGTAACCGGTCGATGAGAATCGGAAAAGGCCATGGTTGTCCCTTTGATAGACGTATCATGCTTTTCCAGTCATCCCCAGAGGGGGAGATGTAGCCTACCTCTTGAAGAATCGCGGCATGCGGATACTAGACCCGCGGCTTGCTGGGGTGGTGCCGCCGAAGCTGGCCGGGCTGGCATGTTGGCGGGGGACGGAGATGTGAGGATTCATCTTCAATGAGTGGTTAAGGGAAACCCCAGGTCTTGGGACATGGGAGGGAAAGGCACGGATGTCATGTACCCACTACCTCTATCTGACCCAGGGGGGGGGGGGGGGGGGGTTTGGTTTGTTGATTGAGGTGGTGGTGGATGGGGGGTTGGAATTACGATCTATTAGCGAATGGAGTGATTGATTGATTGATTGATTGCTTTGCTTGTTGATGATGGAGTGGCCGTTGGGTTATGTCATCAGCCTCTTCGGCCCAACTCCCGGATCAATTCTTCCCCGACAGTCCGATCGGTGGATGGCGGCAGAATCATCAAAAACCCCAAAAAATAAGTTACAGTTTGGACTGGCGGAGGGTGGATATTCTATGTAGGTAGCATCTACTTAGTCTAGCCTGTCTGGTTGCTTGTTTGCTTGCTTGCTGGCTGGCTGGCTGGCGGATGAAACATGGAAGCCATGCCATCCCTGTAGGAGATCGACCGTGAACGCCGGTGTATCAAGTGCGTGGCGGCACTAGAACCGTCAGGAAATGGCGATGTATCACATTGCGAGGGTTGCCTGTTGAGGACAGGAGCAGCTCCTTAATTTATTTTTCTCATGCATGGCTTACATTTGACTGACATTCGGGCGACAGAATGCCCCAGCTCCGGGCCCCGGAAGGTGGGCATGACCACCACCCTGTATGTATGTGCCTGGATATGGAGACTGTAGATGCAGTTCAGCCAGCGTGAGTAAATCTCCGGCAACGAGGGAAGAAAAGTGATAGATAGATGATGCATGGTGGGAAAATGATGCAGACCCCTCAGGCTGGCCTGATCGCAAAAGCCATCGTTGGATCGAATTTGATCCATCTCCAGCATACTGACAAATTCGGTCGTTGCCCTACCTTGGGTGCGATGGAGCTCTACGATGGGTCACAGAAGACTGGAGCATGGACAGGACAGGATCAGTTTCGTATGAAATGATAGATATTATCGATCGGGGGGGTGCATGACGGCCCGTTTCCACTTGATCCAGTAGGAATTGAGGAATACGGAGTAACTGGATCCACTTGATGGCAGTCAATTCACTGGAACTGGGAATAGCCAAGGACCCTCCCCAAATGGAACCATGCAAGCTGCAAGACACTCCTGGATCGTCCTTCTGATACTACTGTACAGTAGTAGTTCTGATCCAAACTTGTTAATACGTACTACGTAGATAGTTTGATGTGAGTTAGGGAGGCAAAAGGGAGACTGAACTCGCAAGCTGGAGAGATATTGAACCTGCAGGAACTCGGATGCATGCCCCTGAGAAACTGACTGACTCTTTGATTATCGCGACGGACTCTAGACCCGCAACTAGTGAACGCTACTGGAACTAGTCTGGAAGGTGGACGATGGCAGATGGTCCATCCCTGAACCACTCCAACGGACTAAACGTCTGCTTCTGCCCATGCTTTTTTTATTTTGCTGCTAAGGGAGTAGTGTACAACTTTGTGCTGTTCTCCTCTTTCTCCGGTGATCCCACTTCGGACGCCGTTCCTGGGCGCATTTCCATCTGCAAGTCCGGGGGCTGCTCAGGCATTCAATCAATTCATTTCCCATTTTTGTCCCTCTTCAATTGCGCCAAAATTCCTGAAGCGTTTCAATCGCTACCCTCCTTTCCTTTCCACCTTTCTCACACTCTTTGCACTCCCTCCTTCTCTCATCGTGGCGACCCACGATCGTCACCGGTCGGTTCCCGCTTCAACACTCGACCGTTCCTTTCCTGTGCGTCTTTGGTGGTTCGCCTCTAACTTTCCTGGATCGCCTTCTGTCTATCTTCCTCATTGAATCTCTGGCTAATCTGCCTTACCGCATAAAAGATTACAGCAATCCTCCCATAAGGACGTCGATTTGATCAATCGACTTACCCCCTTACACTACGAAATTTCCCTTTCCCCCCCCTCCCCCTCACGCAATGTGCGACAGGTGATACACACCACCCTTGACTGCGCCTTGAAGACGGTCTGTTCGACTTCTGTGAAACTCAGATCCGGTCCTGAGCACGCGATTCTATCAACCGGCCCAAAACCCCCTCCCTCTCTCGATTGACGCAGGACGGTGTGCACGACAAGTGGACAATCGTCTCAACTACCTGCTGGTTGAGATCGTCCATGGCCAACGGTGCCCAGGGACTTGGCGACCAATATCCCTAAGGCTCAACCCCCTTCTCTTCACTCATTCCGTTCACTACAACGAATGCCAGACGTCCTTGGTAACCATTGACCACAGGGCAGTCTCAAAATGCCTCAGCAGCACGCCGGCCGGTCCCCCCCTCGAACACCCCCCTCCGAAGCTGTCAATGGGAAGCCTACAAGGAGAGGGACTCATCCGCGACCCTCTGTCCGAGAGACCTTCCTAGATGACTTCAATCCAGCCGACAACACCAACGAGAACAATGAGTCTTGTGACGAGCGAGATCCCCACGACCTATCGCTGTCTCCGAAGCATGCGGCCCGCACCTCCATCGTCGATAATATGCTCCTATCCCTAGACCAGTTCGTGGCGGGTTCCTCTGTGCTGGATGACTACCGGTTATTTAACTCGGTATTCGAAACGGACCTCTACGGCCACGGTTCACCGGAATCGTTGGCCCAACGACGTTATCGCGGACACACATTTTCATCCTCCCTATCGTCAGAGGTAGATGGCACCTTTGACGACGGCACGGCTCGCCATGCGTCCCAACTCCCGAGAGGTCGTCGGAGTAATAGCAGCTCGAATTACCATTCTAGCCTGAGAAGATTTGGGAGTACGCGCAGCCGGGAAGGCACCGGCCCACGCGGCCAGCTATATGACTATCGGCCGAGTTCTACGGCAGCGACAGGGGCTCATACTGCTAGAAACGGGAGCAAAGGAAGTGCTTCCTCCCAGTTAGACTTTGGTCCGCCTCTGCTACGTCGCCGAGCGGATTCAACTGGCGAGAGACGTTCGGCGAGCTTCGACTTCGGTACTCGGCCACCTTTCATCCCCTTTTCCGAACCGGTTGCCGACTACGGTTCCTGGTCCTTCAGCGACTTTGACGCAGCTCCTACGCCAAGTATTCCCGGAGGCCCCAGTAAAAACCACCCATCTTCGCAAGGGGACTATGCAGGTTCGCTCAGCCTGCAGCAGTCACGGACGCCAGTGGCCTCCCGACGGAACAGTATCAAATCTCCGCGTGCGAATACCACCCGGAAGTCTCGCCCGGAGAACATTGGCACGGCCACCATCCGGAGCCGAGATCTCGACCTGGCGAATCTGGGCGATGCAGGCTTAGAGCTTCCGCCTACAATCCCCTCCTCACTTGACCCGCCTGCGCCCAGCCCAACCATCTCCTTCAACAAACCAATATTTCCCCCGCCGCCTGAGCCAGCGCCGGCCAAGGAACGACCGGGATTCTTTCGACGAGTCTTTGGCTCTAAAGCTCCCACATTCGGACCGTCCGATTACAGTCAATCCGATTCCCATTCCGCCCAAGAATTCGAGACCAAAGATGTCAAGAGCTGGAGACAGCCGCTGAAGCACAGTGGGACAGGGCTCAATTCGGGCCGCGATGGAAGCCATCAAGTGGTGACCAAAAAGTCGTCCTTCTTCCGCCGGCGGAAGAAGTCCGTGGCTGAAAGTGCCCCGCCTCCGATCGTGCTTCCTCCGGAGCTGTCAGGCTCCAGGGCGATGGAAATTATGAAGCCCGAGCCTAGTCCGGTCAGTAGTCTGAAAAAAGTGATGAACCCGTATATCACGGATTCCACTGCATCTGGGCTGGACCAGGCCAACAAGCCCTCGCAGTCCCGTGCGGCGGCGGCAGAAGATGCGGAAGCCAAGAATCCAGGAACCACGTCAACGCACAGTCCGCGAGGCAGCCTCCTTACAACCTCCGGTGCCCCCAAGGCCAAATACAGTTTATATCCCGCAGTCTCATCCGCGAATAATCATGAGGCTACCTTTCTAGGAAATAGTAGTGGAGATGAAGAGTCCGGATCCAAGTCTAATGGTCAGGATCCCATCGCTCCTGTTGACCGCCCACCAGCTTCAAGAGCATCGCGCGATGGCGTGAGCTCGCGCGGCAGTGATTTGGACTCCGTGGATAAAGACCAGGTCTTTGCTTTACCAGGCGGCTTGAAGCCACAGGAGACTGTTATTTCCTCGCTTTCGCCCGTCATGGAGAGCTTCTCTCAAATGAGCGCGAGCCCCACTCACAGTGCTGAGGATGTCCCAGAAGAGTCCAAGGAGATACCCACCTCTGACGTACCCAAAGATGAGATTGTTGATGGCACGAGCCGATTCTCTACCCCTGCCAATGGCCCGGGTGGCTCGCCACGGGCTTCGATTTCGGAAATGTCGAATTACTACACGGCATCTGAGAGTGCCGCCATGGGGCCAACGGAGCCAAAGCTTGCCGATCTTGCGGAGACTAGCCCGGATGACATCCCGGCTAGCGAGCCGACTGTTTCGGACAAAGAACAAGCGCAGATGCTCTTTGATAGCCAGGATCAAGTCGTAGGAAACGAGCCGGCTGCGGCTTGGCTGGGCGATCCGGACCGAGCCTTCGTCCGCAAGGCGTACATGGATCTCTTTGACTGGGCCAATCTGAACATCCTGGCAGCCCTTCGAAGTCTGTGTAACCGTTTGGTGTTGAAAGGAGAAACCCAACAAGTGGACCGAGTCTTGGATGCCTTTTCCACCCGGTGGTGCGAGTGCAACCCACGTCATAGCTTCAAAGCTTCTGGTTTGTCCACGCCTTCAACCCTGTCTCACTGCTTGATAGCTTTCGATCTAACTGCTCTACAGATGTCGTGCACACCATTTGTTACTCGCTTCTCCTGCTGAATACCGACCTGCACCTTGCCGATATCGAGCAGAAGATGACGAAGGCCCAATTTGTCCGAAACACTATGCCGACAATTCATCGAGTGGCGGCGGATGCTGCGCCGGACGGCTTTGACCAACGCGACGCCAACAAGTCAAAATCCCTATCACAAGATCCGCCGTCCCTGGCCTCGAATTCCAGATCTGCTACCACTGACGACCTCGAACGAAAAGCTCCAACTGCTGATAAGCCGACCAATGGCCCTACCAAGTTGGTAAATCGACTCTCACGGACGGATCTCTCGGCCAAAATGATAAGTGACCCTGACAATGACACCGGCCCCCTCGTCAACACCCCGTTTACCGGCACAATGCGAGCGTGGGAGCAACAAGTGGAAATGGTGCTACGAGACTTTTACACGTCGATTCAGAAGCAGAAACTCCCGTTGCATGGTGCCCCAGTGGAAAAAGAGCCGACACGTTCGTCCTCGAACAATCTACTGGGACCTCACCCTGGTGGGCTCCGCAGGAGTCCGAGTACAGTCAGCAAAAGTGGCTCTGATATCTATCCACGCGGCCGCTCTGCCGATTCCCGTTATGGAACGGCACGCTGGTCTTCGAAGCCCCGATCTCGAGCCAGGCTGTATCCGCCTTCTACGATGGGCTCTAGCCGGACCAGCTTGGATGACCAGTCTTCCCTCTGGAGCCCATCGGCATCCAGTACGTGGAGCAAGTATTCTTCTGGGAAGTTGACCTCTGCGTCGGTGGATTCTTTTGGCTCGGATTACCCACGTGGGGATTATCAACAATCGATTGGCTTTGCCAATGCCTTGAGTCAGGCAATTATCCGTGAAGACTCGGCACATTCGATAGCCAGCTTTGAAGACGCCGAGCGGAATACGCCTCTCCTGGAAGATGAGACTCTACAGCTTGCGGGCGCCCCTTGGGCCAAGGAAGGAAGCCTTAAGCACAAGCATCACTTGGACTCGGTAGATAAGAGGGCTAAAGACCGCAACTGGAACGAATGCTTTGCCGTCATCCAACAAGGTTGGATGCGCCTGTTCTCCTTCAACGCCTCCATGAAATCAGTCCGACAGAAGGCCAAGCAACGGCATCCTGGCGGCGTCGTGGTAGGAGGAGGCAACTGGACAGAAAATGCGGAAGAAATCTGGAAGTTCCTTTTGCGTCAAACCATTGCCAGCGCGCTGCCACCTCCCGGGTATTCCAAGTCTCGCCCGCATGTCTGGGCCCTGAGCCTGCCCACGGGCGCCGTACATCTATTCCAAGCCGGCACGCCAGAAATCGTTCGGGAATTTGTGTCCAGCGCCAATTATTGGAGCGCGCGACTATCCAAGGAGCCTTTGATTGGTGGCATTAGTAACATGGAGTATGGCTGGAGCGACGCAGTCATTAACAGCGCCCTGATCTCGGCAGAGAGCAGCCGGACACCTCCTTCCTCGTCGGGGGCGCGACCGAGCATCCAGAGCTCGATTCGCAGCTCTATTGACCAGCAGGGGGTCCGGCCCCGACTGCCGGCCGACCGAGTGCACATTAGCGATTGGGCTCCTCCGCAACAGAGCATGATGGCATCAGCTCTTCCAGAAGATGAACAGCTGAAGGCCCTGCAGACGTATGTCAAGAACGTGGAGGAGGAACTGCAGCGACATAACGAGCTTCGACCCGCCATGATCCTTGCCTTCTCGCCGCGGCACCCCAATGCAGCCAAGGCGTTGGCCAACTGGGAGCGCAAGTCGTCGTATCTGCTGCGGGAAATCGTGAAGTTCCGGACCTACATTGACTCGCTCTCCTCGGCTTTGGAGCAGAAGAAACGGATCTATACCAACCGGGAAGAGAGCACCCCTGCCGAGTAACCTGTGCTTAAAGAGGTGTCTGAAATTCGCCCGACATCATACTATCGAGCTGGCTCTCGGGGATTTGAGGGCGAGGAGCCCCAGGGAGCTTAGATTTTCTTGATTTGCTTTGTATACCCAACCCAGCTTTAATTACTTCCCCATTCACTTCTTTGTCTTTCCGTTGGAATATAAGAAAAGTCTCCGACTCTAGAGTGCACAGAACTTTGCACTACCTTTGAGGTTCCCTTCTACATATCCTATCTCTTGCCTTTGTGACCCTGTGACCCCGATCATCATGTACTTACTGTCTTTTGATTTTTTTCCTCTTCGATCCGGTTTTGACGAGGTTTACGTGACTGGTTGCGATGAAGTAAGAAGTTTCAGTGAAATATCTCAGGGTCTGACCCGGAAATTTGGCAGTAAAAGAGATTCCATATCCGTTTTGATTGATCCCAAGGTGAATGAAGCGTTAGATCTATGGAAGACGTAATAGAGTCGTATACTGAGTAGTGCTAACTTCTTGGTGGACGGGACCGAGCGGGCACGTGCTGATTGGGCGAAGGCACAACAACAACAACAACCATAACAGGAAGGTTGCAGCTGCACCACAACCTCACTCTCCCTTCGATGTTCTTGGTTTTCCATCCACACCCTCATCTCTCGCTCACCACCCTTTCTGTCCTACGCACCATACCCTCTATTATCTCTCTAATCTCACCGCAGCCACGTCTTGCTCGAGGTGGTGGTGAGCTGGCGGGCCTGGCATTGGCGCTAACCCGGCTGCCCGCCCAAGTGGGTAGCACAAGAGCCCGAGTCTAGAGTCTATCCAGTCTAGACAACCGCCGCGTTTCAGCGCCCGTTGTTCCCTAAGCTCTTACTAGTCTCCTAGTCTCCTAGGGGCTAGGATTGTCGAGCATTGCATGGTGGAGGTGGGGACAACAAACCCTCCCCCCGTCACCATGTCGACCGCATTGCCTCAACCACCTTCCTCTCCGTCGCCTGAGTCCCCAAACGTCGCCGAACACGCGCATCCGGTGCGCTCCCCGACATTCTCTCCACCCCCCAACCCATTACACGAAGAAGGACTCCCGGCTCTCGAAGACGTATTCCGCGATCCAATCCCTTTGATGGTGGCGGAGAACGCGCGGGGAGGTCTTTCCCCGACCACAATGGACACTCCCGCCCGAGACGGCGCTGTCGACGACCACTACGCTCATGAGAAACCGGGCGCCCTCAGTGATGCCCAACGCCATAATCCTGCAGTTGACCCATCGACGGTGGAAGACCCCGCCCATGACGATTCGAACCTGTCCCTCCCCCCTTTGCCCGACAACGACGATAGCAGCCTTTTGTTGTCCGCCGACGATGACTACCAGGAGCGAGTGGACGACCAAACTTTCATCAAAGAAAAGGAAATGCGGCGGCAGTTGATGGATATGGAGTCCAGCTTTCTGCCGGAACCTTCGACCATCGAAGTCGCAACCACGAACCGGATTATTGGTGCGGATGATACTTACTTGGTTGGAATACACGAGGAGGAGCCTGTCCCTGAAGTGCTGGAAAGCACGCAGATTTCGTTCGTGCCGCCCGATGATTCTATACATGACATCGCAGCGGCCGCGGATGGCACTCACACACCTCAAACGCCCACCCATGAGCACAGACAGGACACAGCGGAGGATTTGGACGCAACGCCTGCCGCTTCCCCCGAACGACATGGTGACAACACCACTATCCTGGAAGCGATCCCATCATCTCCTTCGGCGGCCGCTGCAGCGAGGACAAGTACCCGTAACCAGTCTACCTCATCCGAAAATGCGCCCGACACCAGCCATATTGCTCGCGACGATGCATTTGATCGCTCTCCTGTACCGGACGCAGACATCTCACTCCAATCCAGCCATCACAAAATTCGCAGCCTATCACGCAGTGTGTCCCCTGGAACGTCGAGGCTGTTTCATGACAACAGCGCGAATGACGCCGATACAGCCTCCCATACGAGCAGTCGTCGAAGCAACCGACCGAAGTATCTGACTAGTCGTAGTTCGGCCCATCGGCTTTCATATTCCTCGGTCACGAGTGCGGGTACAGAAATCACAAACAGTGATGCGACGCTGGGCGCCGACTACGCACTTCAATCAGGCGGTGCAGCGCCGGGCAACCCGGGTTTAGCGCATGCCGGACAGCGCAACACATTGGCCCGGTCGGTCAGCTTGGGAAGCATGGCATCAGGTATCTCGGGATACAGTGATGAGAATCTCTTTGATCGGAAGAACCCTGGCGGGACCACGGAAGGAGGCCTACAGACCTTGGATGAAGAGGAAGGCCCAACTCAGTCACGTCCGGGGTCGTCTTACCAAAGGTACCAGCAACAGCAGCAACAGCAGCAGCAACAACAACAACAATCAGAGCAGCGCCCCCAACAAGAATTCCATCCCGATGACGCTTCTGGACCGATGACACCACGGGCGAAACCCCAAGACACCGGATTTCCTACAGATACGGTCCTCGCAGAACGTGTCAAAGACGTGCAGGTTCCCAGCGCATTCGTGAAGCAGTTCCGGGAGGACTATGGTAGCCGTGGATTGTCTCCTGAAAAGCGGACGAGCGCCACTCCGGCCTTTGCCCGGAGTGGCCGCACCATGACGCTCAAAGAGCAAAGCAGCACCATTGACCGTCTTTCCAAGGAGAACTTTGACCTCAAGATGCGCATCCACTTCCTCAATGAAGCACTGAATCGACGCTCTGAGGAGGGCATCAAGGAGATGATCTCGGAGAATGTTGAGTTGAAGTCAGACAAGCTGAAGCTGCAGAAGGACAATCAAAGCCTGAAGCGCAAGTTGCGCGATCTCGAGAAACAGTTAAAAGACCAGCAGTCCGACAAGGAGTCGATGCTGAACCATGACCCCGAAGGGTCAGACGAGGAAGACCGTGACCCCGCGCAGGACGAGGAGATTCTCTTCCTGCGCGAGCGGGCAGAGACATATGAACTGGAAATCGAGCGACTCCGTTCGGAAAGCATTGCCCGCGAAAGTGAGAAGAGACGACTGGCCGAGATGGTGAAATCCCTCAGTGACGGGCGGCCCATGGGATCGGATGTTGGCGCCCGGGAGGAGAGGGTAAGTACTGGATTATCCCTTTGTGCATTCTGGACGCTGATTGTTTGTTACCGCAGGATATGTGGAAGGACATGCTGGAGGCCGAGACGGCGGCTCGCGAGCAGGCAGAAGAGGAAAATAAGCGGCTGCGCGAAGAGACCCTGCGCTTGAAGAACGAGATGAACTTCCCTGTCGTCGCCGCGCGAGTCGGGCAACGCGACAGAATTGGCTCAATGGCCTCGTACTCTGCTGCGTCCGAACGAGACTTCAGCCGCGATCCCCATACTGTTAGCTCATCCAGCTCGACGCTGGTGATGGAGTTGGAACTGCTCAAGCAAGAGAATGCGGAGCTGAGAAAGGAGGTGAGCGCTCAGACCTCGATGCTCACGTCCCGGAACCGGGAGAAGGAGCGGTTATACCAGGAGATTGAAGAGCTCAAACTTGGTCAACGCCGGGATGGGACTCGATCGGTTGCCGGCGACAGCATCTTCGATCGCTCGGCGTCCCGGGCACATGGTCGGCCCTCTTCGCGCGCCAGCGATGGCACGGGTCAATCGCCGAGCGACGATGCCGAGCGCGAAGACCTAGAAACGCGCGTAGGCCAGCTGCGCGACCAGGTGTCGGCTCTGAAGCTTGAAAACCAATCTATTCGGGAACAGCTGGATGAGGTCAACCAGGATTATGACTCGCTGGACAAGGCATATCAGGCCGACGTCGATGAGGCGGAAGAAGAGATATCGAACCTTCAACAAATGGTACAGAATCTCCGACAGGAGCGCGACCAGTCCATGCAGATAGCCGAAGAGCGCGATGAAGCATTCCAAAACATCCGCGCAGAAGCTCAGGAAGAGCTAGACGCCATGAGTGAGGCTCTGGAGCAGAAGGTAGAAGAGTGCCAGCGATTGAGCGAAGAAGTGCGTGTTCAGGACGAAAACCTTCGGGCACTCCAGGCGGAGATGCGCTCAGCTAGCGAGGGCATTATTCGGCTTGAGGAAGATGCACAGAACAATCTCCAGCGGTACAAGGCCGTCCAGCAGGAACTGGAGGACTGCAACCGCGAGATGGAGTCGCTGGAGAAGGATCTCTATGAGGCTAACACTAAAGTACAACGGCTCACCGTGCAAATTGAGTCGAGTCAGAATGAGATTGCGTTCCTCCGCGAGGAGCAGGATGGCGACAAGATCAAGATCGGAGATCTTGAATCAGAGCTCAAGTCCTACCAGCTCAGCCTGCAAAGCGAGCGCGACAAGACACGCGAACTCGAGGAACGGTTGGCGGAGGAACGGCACCAGCGTGAAGTTGTGGGCAGCAAAGAGAAGCAAGAGGTGCAGCGCATTGTCAACGAGCTGAACCGTGAGGCGACCACCGCCAAGGAGGAGAACCGCAAACTTAGGAAGAACCTGTCGGCGCAGGAGATTGAAGCCGCAACCTGGAAAGAGCGGTTGCTGGACTTGGAAAACAACCTACGAGAGACGCTGGGTGATCTAACCGGGAGTCGCTCTAGTCTGATTTCCAACATCATGAAGCTGCAAAAGGAGCTGGAGTCGACGGCCCTGGAACTCGAAAGCACGCGAGCCAAGCTGGACGACAAGGAGTCTCTTCTGCGCAACCGTGATGCGCTGCTGGAGAGTCATGGGCTGGAATCGCGCAAGCTGGCCGAGCTGCTCGACCGCGAGCGCCATGCCCGCCGTGCCGACAAGCAGTCGTTCGAGCAAGCTCTCAAATCCCACCACCAGGCCTCGCGCACCATCACGCAGAACAACTCGCGCATCTCGGAGCTGGAGAATGCGCGTAATCAAGATCGCAAGCGCTTCACCACTCTGGAGCAGCAGTTCCGCGACCAGCTGAGCGAGCGCAACGTGATGCTCCTAAACATCTGGAAACGCCTGTCAGCCATGTGCGGACCGGACTGGGCGCATTCAAACAGCTTAATCAATGGCAATCTCCCCAGTCAAGAGGTCATTGGCAACATCCTCTTCTGGCCCGGGTTTAGCCGCAACCTTCTGCTCGCTGTCAAGACCGTCGAAAGCGTGATCTCGGGCTTCAAGTCGCGCATCAAGGGTGTTGAACGGGATTTGACCAAACAGTACCAGATTCTGGAGCATACCTTCAGTCTGCGCGTTAAGAAGCTTGACCGCCTCGAGGAGTCCATGATGAACATGCGCGCACAACAGCACAGCCGGAACCAGTCCGGAATGTCTCCTGAAATGGCGAAGCTCCGGGGTGAGAACCGGCTCTTGAAGGCCGAGCTGAACCTGCTTCAATCGCACTCACGCAGCCGTGGACCTGCCTCTGCGGCTGTCTCCGCCGCCGCTGTTGGCATTGGATCCAACTCCCCACGGTCACCGACACGTGCGCTGAGCCTAGATCCTGGAGCCGATGCAGAACCGGGCTCTCTGATCCGTCATCACTCAGCAGTCGAGAAACCCGCCCCGTCGCGCGGTCTGTCGCGGAGCGCCACCACTGGCATCCCTCAACCCTCCCATTCGGCCTCGACAACCTCGACAGCGACGCTCGCCAATGATGGGCCAGGAGCACTGGTGCAAGGTTCTCGCTCCCGACATATGTCCGCTGACCCGGGGAGCAACGAGAAGTGGATTCAACGCTTGCATGAGCTGGAGAAGCGATTGAAGGCCGAACGGGAGGCTCGCCTTCTGGACCGAAGCGGCGCACGGCGGCGCCTGGAAGAGCGCGATGCGGAGAACCAGCGACTCCGCGCGCAGCTCGAGCGACAGCGTGTACGCAAAGAGCTATCCGGGGGCACGTCGACCGATGAGGACGTGCGCGCGCGTGGTCAACGGCGGCTCGAGGGGTCAGATCCGGGCACGAGTGACGGATATGATCGGCGTCGGGACGATGAGATGAGCTCGAGCGAAGGCGAGGGCATTTACGTTGACATTGAGGTTTGAACGTAGCCTTAGGGGGTGAGGTTGGGGTCGTGGGCCATGATCGTTGGGCGTATTGGGCGTTCCAGTGCAAGGCTTGCGAGTGGTATTCTTTTGGAAGATGTTCTAGTCCACCTGGTGTTCATAAGGGCTCTTTTGATGTTCTTATCATTGCATGTATCATATACCCTTCGGTTCATTCTTCGGTTCGTCTTCTTTCTTGGACATTTGCCATCTGGGCATTGTGTATTGAACGCGTTGGTTAAGCCAGGTAGCAATGGCACCGAGACACATGTACATAGACATGCAGCATGATTCTGTTAATTTCTGGCACAGCTATCCGTAGGCTGCGTCTTCATCCGGAGTAATACAACAATCTAGCAAGTAGGATATACACATCACATCATCATGATCTGCCCACTACCGCAACGACACCTTCAGAGAGAAATCGACAATGCCGGTTCCCTGATGAATGGAGCTCGTCGACAAGATATCCACATCCGGACAAGCATAACGAGCAGCATTCTGCTCATTCAACCCACCACTAACCTCGACCAAAAACGCCTTCCCAGACCCAGCCCAACCAGCCTTCAACTTCCGCGCCGCATCCCTCACCCCCTCCGGCGTGAAATTATCCAACATAATCACATCCGCACCGGCCTCAATGGCCGCATCCGCCTCCTCCAAACTCCGACACTCGACCTCAACCTTCGTCGCAAAACCCCCGGCCGCCTTCGCCGCCTGCACCGCCCTCGGAATCGCCCTCACAATCGACCCCTCCTCCACCGCCTCCTTATCGCCACCATCCTTAGCCGCCGAGTTATTCGCACACGCCCACACATGATTATCCTTGAGCATAGTCATAGCGCTGAGATCATGCCGGTGAGGGTCCGCCCCGCCAACGAGAATACCATATTTCTCGACGACTCGGAACCCAGGGGTCGTCTTGCGCGTGCCGGCTAATGTGCCCGGCCAATTGTGGCTGCGGAGGATGGATACTAGGGTGGAGGTCTTGGTTGCGATGCCGGAGCAGCGCGCGAGAATGTTCAGGGCGACGCGCTCGCCGAGCAGGATCTTGCGGATTGGGCCGGTGACGGTCGCGCAGTGGGTGATTGGTTTGATGGGGGTGGTTTCGGTGATGTGCCATGTTACTCTGTTGTGGTTTCTTTAGTATGGGGTCTTGGTGATTGGAGTGGAAGAGGGGAAGCGTACGAGCATCCTAGTTGGGAGAAGACTTCGTCGAAGAAGGGGACGCCTGCGAGGATACCCTATGTGTTGAATACTATGTTAGTATGGATTGTATTGGGTAAGTGGTGGGTGGTGGTGGTGGTTACCTCGCTCTTTCCTAGTAATCGTGCTTCGCCTTCGGATTCCCCCACTACGAAGCCGCCATAGTCGAAACTGGGACAGTCTTCTTCGAGCCAGTCGGCGATGAGACGCTTGTAGTTGCCTGGGAGGAGGTGACGGAGGTCACCGTATTGGGATGCCATTGTTGTATGTAGTGATGTTGTTGTTAATGTATGTGTTGGTTGGAGTTGAGGGGGAAGATGATGGAGATGAAGCCGGAGGAGGAACCAAACCCCGCGCGGGGCACTTCGGAGTTTCGGAGCATGGCATCGGGACCCTCCGGGTTGCGGTTGGTTTGTTTGGTGGTCATGTGATTTGTATACACAGGATAGGGATTCATGTATATGTTTATGGTATTGTGTATAGTTATAATTAACAATGGATGATAGTTTACTGTAAGTTAATATTATACAATTTACATGATTCAAGGGTAAATATCATCTCGTATATTATACTCCATCAACATTAATAATGGGTGGAAGTATACTCCCGTCACTTCGCATCCCCCCCGAATGCAGCAAGCAAAGTATGAATACGAACACGAAGTCGACGACACATCGCACCCATGGACCCAACTATCAGTGATACGTAGCTTGTCTACTAAGCACAGCTCCCATGGCTAGACCTGGATTTCATTAATCCGAGCACATAAAGCCTCAGGAAGCTGTCATTGTTTACTGGACGGAAGGATTTCAAGCTTTGACACGACAACCCGGGGGGGCTTACATACAAAGTAAACATCTACTCAGCCTCAACGATGGTTGTTGGCAAGTTACTAAAATATGGATACGTTAATGCTGGCGTCATGGTCTGACATCAGTTCTGAAATCCCTGTGGGCTTTGTTCAAAATCATCTACTAAGATTAGTTTGCGACACGATGGATGTGCACTGCCTTGTTTAATCTTGGGTGACTACAGGCAGCACAATTCTTAACATATGGAGTACAACGGGGGGGAAAGAGGGGCTGGGGTATTGGCAGGAAGTTGTAAGGTATAGCTGTTATGGATGTATTACTGACAGTAAGTAAGTAAGTTAGTAATTAAGTATTAGAGTAATAATAACACAGGGGATACTTTCCAACGTTCATCCATATATGAAGCTGACTTGGATAGTAGTCTAGTAGTAGTTATGAGCTACAACCCAACATAAGCAAACAAATAGCACTAACTAACTATGTTAGCTACCTCCAAGATATGTCAAACGAAATATGCACACAACTCGGCCCCCGATCACCTTATGCACCTGCTACATGTGACATCTACCCAAGACTTCTTATCCCACACACCCTTACCTACTACTTCATCCCACCTGCAAAGATCATCATATGGCATTTACTAGTTACTCCAGAAAAATGAGGGGAATGCGCGGGGTAATCAGTAGTAGCTCCAAAGTAAATTATGTATTAACTGGACAAGGATGCCCGCAGCTCAAACCCCAGGTAGTTTCAAGCACAAAGTAGTACAAACCCGTCACACAGACCAGCCACCTGGTTGCTAACTATGTATCTGTACATGCATGGATATAAGGGGGGAGTACAAGGAGATGATCATCGCTTCTGCTATCCCATGCACCTGATCGTGTGATGGTAGTATTTATATTTTAGTGTTGGTGTGCTGTGCTTAGCTTGGTTGCTGTGTTGCTGTGTTGTGTTGTCCCTGCGCACCGGGGGGGGGGTGGGTGGTGTGTGGGATGGATTTTGACCCCAATTCGGGGTTTAAGCATACTACTACAACAAAGAACGGGATGGGGCATGCAGGGGGTTGTCTAAAAAAAATTGGAGAAATTCTTCAATACATGAGTACATTACTTATATGAGATCCATCCTACTCATAGAATGAATACTTTTCTCCCACTATAGTTGGAAGTAGCAGTAGGGGAATGGTGGTCAACTACTCACAAAATAATCACAGTATCCGTCCACACGCACCAACACTAAATCCAGCATAAACTTAATCCTCCCTATAATATGCATTAGATATTTTCCCCCCTCCCCCATTCTAGCCCGTAAACAACTATGATCACCATGCCAAGCTTCACCGGAAATCTACTGTCGGTGCCCGAGAGCGAGCGAGAGAGCCCTGGTATTATTACAGTATACGAAACATTTCCGTTGTGTTTTGATACTGTATATATTACTTATAGAAACATACGGTATTTACCGGGTTTAGTGTTGGAAACGGATACATGATGTAATTATGCACAAGTTATGCAATCTGCTTTAGGTCCTCGTGTATACTACACTACTAACTATACCCTAAGATGTATGCATATAGGTAGACGTAGATAAATCTTATCCTATACACGCACACACTGTATAACATAACTGATCCAGCTAAATTGATCCCCTTTTCCCCCCCTAATATTCTCCAGAATTATTTCCGGTATCTTGATACCATCGACACTACTCCTCCCCAATATAGAAGACTGATTGATTACTGTGTATATCAAACGCTAGAACCCAATAGCGGGATTCCAGAAACTCTTGGCAAAAAAATCAGGAACCACCATATCCCACCCACGATGAGTGAATTTCCAGATGATCCCTAATCAACACTATACCTCCTACCAGCCACATTTCAGTAGTATACAAGTTTAATTCTTCCCTGAATGAATAGCTTGCTTGGCTCAAACTTAAGCTGCCGCCAATGCTGATTAATGCATTATCATCATTAGTAACTAACCCCCTCAGCCAGCCCATGGAAACTTCCAGTCCCCGGGACGGAGACTTTTTTTCTTTTCACTAGTGAGTCAATGTGGCAGCAGCACGGAGACTTTTCTTTGCTCAAAACTAACTAACTACATACTAACTAGTCTACAGTCTACACACACTCACACGGAGAGGCAAGAACCACTGCGGATATTGCGGATATAACGGTCCAATCCCGGTGCCTGTATACCCGCACCTTAACTAGGAGAGGTTTTGGGTTAGGTCGGTTGGTCCCATCTGTACAGTGCGCGGAAAATGATTTGATTGATTATTGCTAGTTTAGTCTGACAAGGCTCGATCTGGTAATGGGTGTGGATCTCCACATGCAAAATATCCGCCCACCTGAGGCTTTTTCATTCCATAGAAACACCACAATCCACACTGTTTGCCTTCTGCTTCAGGTGGATCTCCTCCATAAGCCCGTTTCGTTTCAATCTGGGCTTTGCTTCTTGCTTGCTAGACCCGCTTCGGATACATATCACGGGTGATAAGGATAAATCGGCACGCTGTGATCATGTGATGCTATGGATAATCGGATGATTGCCAAGAAATTTTTTTTCAGATCAAAAAGAAAAAAATCATTATTGTCGAGGATTTTCTGGCTAGTACATATTAGATCAGCGGAATTAAAAGACGGAGAGTTCCGTATTTCTACATAGAGAATAGATGTCCCTGCCTCGGCGACGTACGTCCACGCCCATGCCGAGCCTAGGCACTAACTACTCTCTCCACCGATCGGCCGTTTATTGATTCACTGTGGCATGACTCTTTCCCGGCAGTTTACCTCGGGTTCTCGTTATGGTTCTGGTTCTGTTTTGGATCACTCCCTCCAGGCCTTATACACGATGGTACTACCGTACTTCTGCCCCTTCGGGAGAACGACCGTGTGCCGCCATCCGGGCTCATTGACCGCATTGACAAACCGACTGGGCTCGATGCAGAACCCCGCAAAAGGGCCCCGACTCGGCTTCCCGTCTGTTTCGGGTACATCGATGCCTTGGCCCGTGTAGAATTGGAATGCCGGCTCCGTGCTGTGCACTTGCAGGTGCAGGCGCGTGTCTGAGTGCTGGAACTCGGCCAGCAGGCGGAGGGGCTCACCCCGCGTATCGAGGGGAACGCGGGACAGGTCGCGGTCCATGACGAAGACATCGTCGAATTGGTTCTGCGGGCCGAAGGTGAAGTCCTTGGTGACTTCGCTGGGGTAGGGCTCGATGGGCCCCAGTGGGATGCCGTTCTCTAGTGGTAGGTAGTCCTGTGTTGATAGTTTACTGATGGTGCCTTCGGTGGTTGGGCCGCCGTTGAGGTTGAAGTAGCTGTTCGGACGGTCAATATTTTATTGCCCAATTGATGCAGTAAAAAAGAAAAAAGGGCAGATATACCTGTGGTTGGTCAAGTTAACAACCGTCTCATTGCACTCATCGCCCACCAACTCAGCCTCATATTCAATCTTCAGCACCGACGTAGTCTTGCCCTTCTCCACCTCCTCACTCGTGGTATAGTAGACCCTGAACTCCACCGTACCTGGGTATCCTGCCTCTCCATCACGGCTCAGATACGTATACAGCAGGGTAGTCTTCCCATCGCGGTTCAACACTGTTGGACCATCGAATTCGCAGCGACCCCATCCGCGACTACCCCCGTGCAGCGCATTGGGAGGGTCATTCAATTCGAGCTGATACGACTGTCCATTGAGATTCTGAATAACACCGTCTTTGATGCGGTTGGCAACACGTCCGATATTCGCGCCAAACCAGGGCGAGTTGTGCTTCTCGTAGTCTTCTTTCGTGGCGAAACCCTGAACAATGTTTTGTCCGTCCACGTTGAATTCCTGGATGATGGCGCCGAGGGAGAGGAACTTGGCGGAGGTTTTGTCGCCCATTTTGACTGAGTGCGCTGAATCCTTACTAAATATCTGATCTTTCTAGTGAGTCGGGCGTGTCTAGTGAGGGGCAATTGAAACTTTTGATGGGAAAAAGTAAGACAGTAGTCGATATATGAAGAGGGGTGGTCACTCACTTTCCGCCCGCTACCCCGCAATTCTGCTCCAACTGGAGAAGTCGCGACCAATACGACAGGGGCTCACGCTGAAGAGCTTACGTGCTTCAATCACTAGGATTGGTGCAAAGATAAGGTAGATAGGCCCTTCTTACTGCGAGGTTCATTTAAACTCGGTTAAATTTCCCAGGATCCCCATGCCTGAATGCCATCTTGGGCCTTGTTCTTCTCGCATATTAGGCTAAACCGCACTTCGTAGCATGTGGTGGATTTGCCGAATCGGGTAATCTTCCGGATATTTGTGCCTCAGGCAGAAATATGCTGCCATGTCAGTAGAGTGAGTAGTTCGATCATAGCTATCCATAGCTTGGACTGGATATGCTTCAAATTAATCTGTGGCTGGTCGGAGCTTCATCGTATTAGTAGTTAACGCCTTATACTAAGGTTGTTTTTTTTTGACATCGTGATCAAACTAGTCCCTTGGCTTGACTACCTGCCATTCCTTCCGGCGGGATACTGCTTACGCTATGAGAGGAGCAGCGTGGGATGGATTGAGAGTTAGCTAACTAGTAGTCGGCATCCCACTCTCTTCCTCACTTCCATCACGCAAGCAATGTTCGGGGTCTTAAATCGAACAAGAAATGGGAAGCTACCATCCCTGTCCATAGTAGATTACAGTGCACGCTCCCTTCCCCATCGCCGAAAGGGTCCCCGCAAAATTATGGATGGTTAGTTCTCTGACACAATAATGACTCATTCAGAAGGGCTTGCGAGATGCGCCGATTTGACCGTTAAACGGCTGCAGGGACCAAGCTCCTAAATCCTTAATATCAGTTAGTATAACTAAGTTGATGGTTACTTAATAGTAAAAGCACTCAGTGGGAGGGCCGTATGTGGGATTAGGTTACGAGATGGATTAAAAACAGACAAAACAGCGAGACAGACCGTAAATAACCGTATGTCATGTCATACCATAACATACTGCCAACTTCTACTAGTGCCGGATGACAATACGCCCAGGTCCGAAACGTGGAGTTAAGGCGAACAACCGCTCCGAAGCTGACAAGAACGAAAGTTCCATCAGTCAATTGAACTTACGGTCGCTCAACTAATCAATTCCAACCGTAACTAACTGAAACCTCGGGTCGGTCTCCGCGGAGCTTGGGGCTTCCGTGCCGAGTCCGTAATCCGCTGATTCAGCGCTTTTAACCCAAGTGTGGAAGCGAGAACAGGATACTTCCTCTTCTTATTATTCAATCACAAGAATAAATGTATTGGAATAGAATGCGATAGTGTGAACCAAGTTTCATCTTTAATTGAGACGATCTTTTCTTTCACTCCTCTGTGGGTTCAACCCCTGAGAAAGACCATACTGTGGCGGCATTCTTGCCACCTAAGCAGCCCTATCTTGTAATAGTAGCTCTTTGCTTTTTGATAATCCCGTCCCTACATACGGTAGTTGAATAGTACTTGAATTAGCCACGGCAATTGAAATAGATGTAAGAATGCTTTTGCTGGGCATTAATCTCATCCCATTCTTGCATTTGCATTTGCAGCTTGGCTGAATTGGCATATGCCATATGGCATATGACCTCGTAAGAAGCACAGCACTAGGTAGAAATCGCGCGGCCCCCGGGAATCGCAAGAACCGTTGCATCGGCATTCGGCATTGCTAAAATGAACCCCTTATGTAAATAGATACTACACAACACTAAGAAGTACCGGGAACCCCTATACCATGCATTGGTAGACAGCCGGGTTCAGTGTGATTAGAGTAACTCCGAGAGGTGGTCTCCGGGAGTAACTGACTGCTTTGTACCAATAGGACATGTGATGACAAGCATGCGATGGTGGCTTTGGAAATCCTGATCTCAGCATGAGTTCAGGATTAGAAATCCGTCGATCGGGCTGTACTGTGTAGTGGCTGAGCGGTCTAACCCCATATCAAAGCGTCCATTGTCCACTTGACAACAACATTACCACACCCTGATGTGAGCGCTGCATGCAGATGTTCTGGGGAAAGTGTGTGTTGGTGGTCCGCGATGACTACTGAGTAGTCCACAGTAGTGGTAATGCAGTGACCTACTGACGGGGCCCCGGGGGTGCATTACCCGTTTGGGAGTCACTAGCCCTCCCATTATTAGGATGATTATTGCCAGACAAGACAATTGCTTTTGTGTCTTGAAAGGGGGCTGACTGGATCCCATCCGTGCTCTACTCCGTAGATATACTGCAGTTAACCCTCACAGTCCAGTCTTGTCGGGAAGAGGGACCATGAATGGGGCTATCTCTCCATTTTGGGGAACCAGTGTCCATCACCTGGGTCAGGGAGACGGAACGGAATTAGGGAGATGGGAACCGTGAAGAAAAGAAATTAAAGGGAAAAAGAAAAACAAAAATAAAAAATTTTGTAGTTCTACACGTGGAACGACAGGAGATGGACAGCTTCCATTGCCATTAGAATATCACGTCGAATCCTCCGTAATCCGGAGGGAAATCAAGGTTCAGTCCCTTCCTGGCAAAGAGTGGGCGTATTCCGATGGGAACTCGGATGTCGAACCAGGTAAGCGATGTTATTGCCTGGGCACTGGCACACTGACACACGGTCGGGAGGTCGGCATTTCGGCCTGTGTGCTGGTCCGCCCGTGGCTGACCAGCAATATCCACTCAACTGTCTATCCACAGAACCAGATGAGGCAAAGGCTCCATGGAAGGAAAGAAGAGACGGAAATAAGAGAAGAAACAACAGGTAAAGGCAGCAATGGAAAAAAAAAAAAACCTCTCCCCCTTCCCACTCATCGCTCCCCACTAGCGGGTGTGTGGGCTGGGCTGGGCTCCGTCGTGCCAGACCCAAACATCAAATTGGGCTCCGTCGTATCGAGGGTGGTGACTTTTGGACCCTCTTCGTTTTTTCATGGGGATCCATCGGCCAGGAAGACTTGTTGTTCATGAATTTCTTGTTCAGTGATCAGGTTCCCCCTCTTGACCACTACAGGGAATATTGTTGCAGGAGGGCAGTAGGGTTCACTCGACGTGTCACGATCTACCTCGTATCCCCATCGGGGGCGCGTGAGTGGTCCAGCCAGTCCAGATGTGGCCGGAGATAAGGTAGAGCTGTCACCGGCCTTTAGGATTTGATTATCCATGACGTCCTCCATCACCGCATTAGTCACTCGTGAGCGGTTGGAACGTCATCTGGGCTTAACGAGCAGAGAAAAAAAGGTTCCTGGCCTCGGCAGTCGGTCTCCGTTGGCCGATACGCCCTGCGCCCTAGGCCAAATCTCGGCCACTTCTCGGACAAAGATTGAAGTAAACCAAAGTAAATAAGAAGAATCGAGAATAGATTGTATATTTTCAATGTCGGAGACATAAGAATGACATATAGAACATCCGAAACTAGAACCAGCATCGGCAAGTATCCACGCAAAAGCATCCGCATCCAAGTAAAGAAAAAACAAACCGCCCTGCCTGTTCAAGCCTTCCAATGTTTTGTGTAAACTCCAACTCCAAAACACCTCGACGCCTTCATCATCAAAAAAGTATAAGCCAAAATAATATGTAGAGGATGCTGTCCCCACAAGAAGAGAAAGAAAAAGAATGTGATGCCAGTCACCCAAAAGAATCCAACACTGTACAGCTGATCAATTACCCTTCTTAATGAAGGGGAGTGCTGCCATATGTTCAAAAAGTAGTCCAATGTCGAAATGTAGCATGTATATTATACACGCGTTACGTCGTACGGCGTATGCAAAACAAATGTCAGACAAATGAGAGACATTAATGTGCTAAATTTCGTCGTATCGAAGTGATCTCAGGTCGATGCGATCTCGGGCGCATTGGCATTCAAAAACTGATTGATGTCTTCATAGTCGCCTTTGGTGTCCATATAGGACGAAGAGGAAAGCATGCAGCTCATCGGTAATTGACGGTTGAACATCGGCGAGGGCACCTGGTCGTCAAAGGACAAATTCGTATAATCGGACGCGCCTATTAGATCCATATCGTCGAAAGCGCCAAAGTTATTGTTGGGCCACTGTTGCGGGGTCTGGAGGGCGAGGGGATTCACGACGCCTTGCATGGTCATGGGCGCAACGAAGGCGGGATTTGTCGGTGCCATTTGAGGCTCTGATTTGATAGTGGGGCCTTGTGTTTGGGACGGTGTGCTAAAGCTGGATTGCGTACTCGAGAGCTGACGAGCAAACGGGTCTGAGAAGCGGGAGGGCATGATAGGCGACTGCGCACTTTCTGAGCTACCGTCGGATGACTCCTGGCGTTGCATGTGTCCGGAATTCTGCCTCCAGAGATCTTGCTGCATAGCCTCTGTGTTCTCTTCGAAGCGCTCACCCTTGGTCTGGTCCAAGGCGCCAAGTCGCGTAAGCAGATCATGTGTTAGAGGATGGCCGTTGGGCTCGCATTTCAAGGGCTCTCCCGGCCAGCCTTCGCCCTCCAAGGCGCGACGGTACATTTCTTGCAGGCCATTGACGAGCCACGTTTGTTGCTGTTCAAGCATCTCGACATAACTAGAGGCGGCGGTAAGCCAGGTTAGCTATTGATACAACATGTCGGTTGGGTGCAAGCTCACCCCTTGGGGTACACTTTGTCGTGAGCCTTCTTCCTCTCGCCAAAGACACAGATGGCATTATCTGTCCTGCACCGACCACATGGGTTGGATCCGTCACACTGCACCGGGTCAGTGCATCAGGACAAGCTGATGCTTGAGCATGACTTGGCTTACCTTGGATTTCTTCAGTCTACACCGATCGCATGCCTTACAGACCCTCTTTCGGACATTACCGTCCGAATGTGAGTGGTCGGATGTAGGTGATGATTGGCGTGCCGTCATTGTGCGCATATATATACTTATGGAGGTGAGGGAGGTTTGGTAGCGGGTATTGAAAGGCAGATGTGGCCAGAGAAATCAAAAGAGTATCTCCCCAGTCAAGAAAAAGGTGAAAATCAAAAAGAGTATCGAAAGCGCGAGTTCCAGTTGCGATGGTTAGTTTTGTAGGGTAACTAGTCGGGTTTGCTTTTTCTCTGTTCTTTCGAATTTTCGTTTCCCTTTCTTTTTCTTATTGCTTTTCTTGTGCCTTGTCCTCGCCTATACCTTTTTCTGTGGTGCGGTGTTGCAATGATCAGTGATCGACAATACGTAAGATTGGTCGATGATATAACGAGGCCGGATGGATAAAGGTAAAAGAAGGTGTAATGAGCAAGAGAAGGTTCAGAGAGTCGAGCCAATGCGAGAGCTCGATCGAGACAACCGCATGTAATGATTAATGATCAAGTTGAACGGTTCCAAGGACAGGATAGCGTTACAACGATCCACCGGTGGTTGGGCTAAAGGCAAGGTGTGTAGTAGTAGTAAATGGTGTGGTAAAGAGGAAGTATATCTGGGAGGGAAAAGAGGCCAGGCTTGACCAAACCGGGAGGGTCGAAGCTCTTTTAACTAGATATAAGGGAGGAGGAGTAAGACGAGGACGACGTAAAGTCAGAGTGATGATGATTGATGATGATGATAATAATAATAATTGCTACTACAGATGGGCCTGGATGATTATTTATTCGAATTAGTCTAGTCCCCATGGATTTCTTTTTTTTTTTTCCTTTTCATTTTTTTTATTTTTTGATTAAAAATAATAGTAAGGTTGGCGGTCCTTCACGTAGGAATGGTCGCCGTCTTACCCTTGGGATTATTGACGCAGTCCAAAGGAACCAAAATGGATCGGGTCTGGCGGCGCTGGCCGATCATTGGCCGGCCGCTAGAGGTCTGGAGGTTTATGCAGTGGGGCCCTTCTTCTCTGTACGGTATTGACCTCGTATTAACTGTTCCCTCCAAACTTGCACTGTATCATTCATAACTTTTCCTGGTACTACTACGTGAACTAAACCAACTGCTTGCTTGCTGCCTGCCTGGCTATCGTCACACTTGTCCACTTCTTTGGGGAGACAGCGGAAAAATCTTTCTACATGAACCGGGTTAAATTCAAGGCACATATGAATTTTAAGATTTGATCCAACGTGGTGCTCCAAAGCTTCACCTGCCTCTGCAGCCACAGCGTGTCAATTCCTTGCCCATACTATTATAAGTTGGTACCTCTGAGTGAACTGAGGTAGCGCTTTCCATACTGTGTAACCATACGTCATAACCAATACGTAGATGAACCCTGCGGCCGTTTGTATGTAAGGTATTTTACCTGATACGGAGGAACAGGTTGAACGGATAACGGAAGTAACCAGCCCAGACGGACGTGCTGATTGCCTGAATCGGCATCGGAGACTGCTTGACTCGGACCTCGGAGGTGCCAACTTCCTTTTTCTGCTTTTGCGTGCTTTTGGGAAATTACCTCATTTAGATATATTTCCTTTTTATTTCCCTCATGTTGGGAGGGGCCCCCAAAACGATTCAAAAACCTCAATGGCCCACCTCAGGCCGTATATCCGATCGGGACTCTGGACAGGTACCTCCCATGTCTACACTCTATGGGGGTTTCCCTTCATGTACCGTAGGTGTCTGCCTTGGCTAGTGAGGCCCTACCTTTGGACTACTATAGTCTACCTAGGGTGTGGAAAAGATCTTTGGAGGAAGTAGAAGAGGGGGGGTGGGAATACGTGGACAATTAATCACGAGGGAGAACTTAGATAGTAGAGACTAAATGTAGGTAGCTATAGTTACTTCGCGGCCGAGGTGGTTTTACCTGCGCCATCGTGGGTGATGTGTGAGACTCACTTGAAGCAAGCTGTACCTTTTCCGATGTGAAGGTACATCCATAGCTTTAGTTCAGAATTGCGGTAATTCTGCGATTTGATGCAAACCAGCTTGAGGGAATGACAGCCCAAGTCTGCATAGCCCGGCATTACGGCACAACAATATCCACCTTGAGTATATTTCCATAACCAAATTTTTTTTTTTTTTCGAAGCTGACCCAACTCGGCAAACTCATGCCGAACGGGTAGCTTTCGAAACCATGAATCCACTGTTCTGGAGCGGTATGTAAGGTGTATGGACCATCGGGTGGTGGCTCCATAATGACTACTTACTGTGAACATTACCTGACACTGACAGGGTCAATAAACTCATCTCAATTCTCTCTCCCCCCTTTGAGCTCCATTCAAAGTGCATCGTCAAAACCCCGATTCGGCGATCAAACACGGATTCCTTTCCCCGTCCGATATCTCTGATCGCTGCTATTCTCCTAGTTCCCTCCATAGTCGTACAAGACCTGTTGATCACCAGTTTCTTGGCGATTGGCGCTCTCCTTCGAAAGCTTAACGGCAGACCGGATTGATTTCAATCCTTCTTTGCCACACAGTCTGCCGCCAGGTGGATGGAGCAGGGAAGGCCGAATCCCGCGTTGATCCAATCGTCGGTTCCGATTGTTGTTCGTGATCAGCTTTAGTTTGGGATGATTCAATAGCCCGGTCAATCATTGTTCTTCCAATTTTACTTTCCTGCCTTGAAGCAGCAGCAGCAGCAGCAGCAGTAGCAGCAGCTCCTCTCCACCACGAGGTGCCGTTGGAGCTATCCGCACATGACAGTCAATGACGTTGATCATCCCTCCGATGGACCATGCCACTTGCACGGTCGCAGGTCTGATTCGATTATGCCCCTGTCATTCCCCTCCAGCTTAGCCTGTTGTGACAACAGGAAATGATTTAATTAATCCTAACAGGCTACTGCTCTCGAAGCCAGTTCGCGTTGCCGGAGTACGGTGCCCGTGTCTGGCTGGAGCTGGTTTGACCGGCACTTACCACTGGCTCAGCTCCGGGATTGACTTCATACTTGCACCACTGCCTCGGGTGCTATAGAGTGGCAGATAAGGTTTCTGATCCTGCGATCAATGACCGCTGGACTATCCTTTTCCATGTTGATCCATGCCCGTTTTCTACAATGTACCAATAGGTGCCCCATCGAAAATGCCGAGTGTCGCTTAATTCCCGAAGCGGCTATACTACTCGGGATTGAACCTTGCACCTGAAGCACGATCGAGGCTGGTTCTTGCTTTCAGGGGTTCGACGATTGCAGAATATGCTGCCCATAGCCAAACATTGGAAATCGATTACAGATCGCTGATACATGCTACTCTCTCGGGTCTAGACCATGCGATAGTGTCAAGCCCGCTAACCATGATAGCGTCATCCCGCAGTGCTCTACCAATCTTGACCCCACCACCACCACTACCGCTGCTGACATGGATGCACTCGGTTTTCCACTTCCGTCGGGATGCGGCAGGGAGACCATGTGTGCCGTGAGAGGTTGCTGATAAGATATAGCGATGCATTGTCTGTCCCTAGTCGGCCGGATTGCAGGTTAGTGTCCTGCACCGGATGAGCAAGCTCGCCGGTGACCTCATTGTTAATTAACCCATGCTCTGCTCCCGTGACAGCCATCGGGTTCTTCTAGCAGTCTCGTGTTTTCTCGAAACATGCCGATCTATCCGTCTATGCAAACTACACGTCAAGGAAGTAGATGATGGAACTTGGCATTCGTGGATGCATCAACAGGTTAACGGTCGAGATTGAAGTCAGCTGAATAAGTAGTATACAAAAGGGGGTATAATGTTGAAATGTTAATACAAAGAAGGATGGACGACCGCAATAGGCAGACCTGCAGCCTAACAACAACTCATGCGCTTCCATATGCTCGCCTTTGCAGGCTTGGATGGCTTGTTCTGCCCCGATCCTGATGCCTCTGGTTGAAGATGGCCCTTCTCGCCTGGATCCTGACGTGCACGTTTACCTCCAAAGAGCCCACGAAGACCACTCTGTCGTTTCTGTGTGCGCTTCTGCGATTCTCCCTTGCCTTCCTTGCTAACAACCGTGTCAGCAGGGGTTTTTGCAGCCGTCGAAGGCTCGCCCCTTTGAGCGGTTTGACTGGTCGGAGGACCCTTCTGGTAGTGTAGTCGACGGGCCTCGACGACCCGACGGACTAGGACTGCGAGAGTGTCAGCTTCTGGCAAGAGTATATACCTGGCTCGATAGTGGTGAGAGGCTTACGGGCAAAGGTTTCCTCGATGTTGACCATCTCCCTGGCGCTGGTCTCCATGAAACCGCAACCGTGTTTTCGGGCATACTCCAGGCCATCCCGGGAACTAATGACTCTGTTGTCTTTGAGATCGCACTTGTTCCCTGCGACGATCTTGACCGGGGGTGGCATGCCCACATCGAGGCCCTCTGCACTGGCCCCCAACTCCTTGCGCAACCGATCATTGTCCTCAAGGCGTTGTTCGGTTTCGATCTCAATCATGTCCATGAAGTAGTCCAAAGCGCCTAAGCTCGATTTGTTGGTGATGTCGTACACCAGAAGAAAGGCGTCGGATCTCAGGTTGGAAGCCGCCCATAAGCCGCGATACTCTTCCTGGCCGGCCGTGTCGGTGATGGATAGGAAGTATGGCACGCCATCGACCACGCGCGTAACCGAATATGAATCCTCTGCACGGTTCAACCAGATCGCCCGATGTCAGTAATTGTGAAACTCGATATAGCTCAGAGCAAGACCAGCAAGGAGGGTATACCGATTGTAGGGTCGTATCTATCCCGTTGCTCTGGATTAGCATGATGGACGCTTCTCGTCGACGTTTGATGATCGGATTCTATCTGTAAGACTTACTCATGAATCCACTGACTCCGCACCAGGCGCAAGGTGATGGATGATTTTCCTAGCGGCCATCAGCGATAAGGTTCTTTCTTCCCCCTTGTAGCCCCGCAGTCCCTGCGCCGGGATGACGAAAAGAACCATGGGGGGGGGGGGGGGGGTTCAAGAGATGGGGTTGCACAGCATACCGCATCCACCATCGCCGCAGATGGTGATAGAGATCTTGTCGGTGGCGTCGGCCATGGTGAGGGAGTGCGGGTCGATAGATAGGTGTCGGGGATGCGCACGCGACGGCGGGTCCAGTAGTAACAAACAGAGAGAGACAAGGGTCAATGGTTGTGTAACGAGCGAATTTTGACCCTGAAGCTAGTCGGCTACCCCGATTCTCCTACCACCAACAGGTGGGTGTCGAAGTGTATCCCTTCGCAAGAGTGTTTTTTTGAGTCCCGTCAAGTAGATGGAGATGCGACTGGACCCGAGAGGGGCATTACAGGGGCAGTGTGAGGCGAGCTGTGTGGTGTGTGGCCTGGCCGAACGGACAAAACACCGAGGCAGTTTCGGGGATGAAAGTGAAAGAACAGGGTATAAGAATGTGGACGGAGTTTATCTGGCAGAAGTTGCGACTCGAGTTTTTCAGGCACTGACTCGGAGTAAGGGGGAAAGAGAAGAATGGGAGAAAGGATTCCCAACGTGGGCGAATCTCAGACGCCGACGGAGCGAAGCGCCGCCCCTTTGGGGGTCCATTTCGGTGATTGCGGATGGCCGATCACTGGGTGGTGATGATGTTGATGATGATGATGATGATGATAATAAATGATCGATTGATAAGGGAGAGTAGGGGTATATAGATAAATATCTATTGTGGACCAGGAGAATATAATTGATCGGGGGGAATTAATCGTTTGATGTCAAAAAAGACATTCAAGTGGATTTGACAGTACCATGGAGAAAATGATGAAGAGAGGGGGTCACCAGTACCCCGACATGCTGCAGACGCGGGCTGGAGCGTGCGGTACCTGGTACCTGTTCTAGACACATATTAAGTAGGAAATAAATATGGGGAGTACATCAGTAATTAAATAGGCAGTAGTAGTATCAAATGCTTTATTTATAACTTTTGACAAACAAAAATCAATTCCCCAATTACTTTCTACACTACACTCCGTAGATACTTGTTTGCACAAAATTTCCACCACCAGAATCTCCCCCGAAGACTGACTGACTGGTCCATCTGATGCCTCCATTGTTCTTTTTTATCAACTCCCATCCTCTCCTCTCATTTAATTAACATCCTTTTCGATCCATCACACCGACCAGCTTGACACATCATCCCGGAATCTTCTGGCCTCCCGGGGTCAATTGGCCCGCCCCGCCACTCGCCCGGCTGGTTTGCCCCCTGCGATCCAATCGTTCATCTTTCTTCTCTTTCTTCCTTTCCACTTGGTGTGGATAGTAGTACTACTTTAGTACTTTAGTCCTGCTCTAACCAACAAGTACTTACTGCTGCTACTGCTGCTACTGCTGCTGCACTGCGGCGAATACAATGAATGCCCCCATAGTGTCTCGCAACTGACATCCACCACCATCATCTCTAACTATTCCATTTCCTCTATTAATTCTCCGATTCCTCTGGGACACAGGAAAAAGCAGTACTTCCTTATATATTGAGGGAACCGCCATATTATTGATTGATTTGGTGATAATTAAGTCCCGGCGCGACCAGTGAATTGCTAGTCGTTTCCACTCTTTCGTCCGGTCTCTTTTCAGCTGCTCACGCTTCATTGCTTTCCTTCCCCTCTTTTTATTTTTTTTTCCCCATCTCAGCGTGGATTCATTCAGTTCTTTCCACGTCTGTCCACTTTATCTTCCATCGATCTCCGCTGCTTTTTTCCTTGAATTGTTATTATTATTTCCTACTGTTCCGATAGGCAGGGAACTGAGGAGAATCTGATTCGGGGGTTTGGGAGTAACTAACTACCTAGTACTTACTACTCTTCCTCCCACCCCCTGGTGTGTTTGTGTGACTGTCTTAAGGTTTAGTTGTTATTCCCTAACTTTGCTTCACATCAGCAGCCCATCTCGATGCGTCTTCCTCATTGGTCTCTCGCCGCTTCTCGATTCGATCGGACGTGAAGCTGTTCCAGGATTGTTTGTTGCGGGCCATGGAAGGCTTCGACGATGCCTTCTATCAGGCACACTATTCCATGCCGGATCCCCAACTGGGCCCCGCCGCATCCTCTTCTTACTCCAATGCTGCCCCCCATCCGGCTTCTTTGATGTCTTACAATCCCACTCCCGGCCATTTTGCTCCCGGTTCCTTTGCCTATCCCGCCCAGCCCTCCGATCTGCTGGCTGCTGGCCTGCCCGCGACTTTTGCATCGCATCCCGATAACTTTTCCTTTCAGTCTCCGGTTCCTCATCCTCATCATCATGCTTCTACCCACACGGCCAGTTTCCCGGGGCATGTTCCCCACGCCATGCATCCCTACCATCCCCTGTCGGCCGCCGCGCAGACCATGCCAATGAGCTTGGATCAAGGAACTACCTTTCCTTACGATCCGGCCGTCTTTGGCGCTTCCATTGGACCGCTAGATCCCAGTCTAGAGCAGCATTCAGCGCCGCAGCAGCAGCAGCATCCTCACTTACCTTCCCAGACCGTCCATCTGGATCCTGGCGCAGCGTACGCGGTCGCTCAGATCCAGGAGTCCGCGACAAATACCTACTGGAATCAACAGACGACTGAAGATGTCACCGCCCAGGCACAGGCTGCAGGCCCGGTCCGGGGATCAGCGGGGGACTTCTCCCGCGCAAGAGGGCCGTCCCAGGATCATCAACCGCTACCCCAAAGTCAGCCCTCGGACTTTCAGTCCTATACCCAACCGGCCAATCCAGCCGTTCCTCATCGCTTCATCCAGCCGAAGAGGTCATCCCCAGTGAAGGGTGGGTTCTCCTCTAATCCAAGTCGAACCTGACCGGAAAAGCTGATACGGGTCTTCACATCCAAAAAGCCTCTTTTCCACCCGAAGCCAAAGTGGAAGCTGGAAGCGACTCTCCATATGCTAGTATCTACTCGTCAAGTGGCTTCGATATCATGGGGGTTTTGGTAGGTTGAATCTGGTCGACCGCTTCCGCAGTAGCGTTCGCGTCTGGAAGACATGCATGTGACTGACCTCTCCACTAGGCCCAAGTGGTGTCCCGACCGAACCCTAAGATCAATATCGGGGCAGTTGACTTGTCGTGCGCATTTGTCCTCTGTGATGTCACGCTGGAGGACCATCCTATCGTCTACGTCTCGGAGGCATTCGAGCGGCTCACGGGCTACACCAACCAGGAGATTGTCGGGCAGAACTGTCGGTTCCTCCAAGGGCCGGACGGGGTTGTTCAGCGGGGCATGCAGCGCAAGTTCGTCGACGAGAATACGGCCTATCGCCTGCGCTCGACGATAGAGGAGCGGACGGAGATCCAGGCAAGCATCATCAATTACCGCAAGGGCGGCCAGCCTTTTGTGAATCTAATCACCATGCTTCCGATCCGGTGGGGCGGCAGCGACTACCGGTTCTACGTTGGGTTTCAGGTGGATCTGGTCGAGACGCCCGATGCAGTGACGCGACGGAATCCGAGTATGTCCTGTATGCGTGTTTTGACGCTGCTAAGCTAATCGTACTGTTTGCAGATGGAACCTACATGATCAACTACCAGCGCAGTCAGTTACCGAGCTATGTAGTCCCGCCTGAAGTTTACCGCTCCAATCCGGACCTAGCGACTTTCTTTACCCCTGATCAAGTGTCTACGGTGTTGGAGAGTTTGCGCGGCACCGGCCCGTCGTACCGGCATTACCTGGATCGAGTGCTGGTGGAGAACATGGACGACATCATCCACGTTCTATCCTTTGAGGGAGAGTTTCTCTATCTGTCACCCTCGTGCCGGAAAGTGCTGGAATATGAGCCAGCTGAATTGGTCGGGAAGGGCCTGTCAGCAGTGTGCCATCCCAGCGATATTGGTTCGGTCATTCGCGATCTACGAGCGCGCATCACCACCGAGCCGGTCAGCGTGGTGTATCGCATCCGGAAGAAGTACAGCGGGTATATCTGGTTTGAGAGCCATGGGTCATGGCATATTACCGATCGGGGGCGACAGTTCATGGTGCTTGGAGGGCGAGCGCGTGCGGTGTACAATCTTGACCAGGTTGCTACAATTGGCCGGGGCGGGTTGGCGGAGAATGACATCTGGGCCAAGCTTTCAATGTCTGGGATTGTCCTTTTCATCTCTTCAAAAGCTAGGCCGGTTCTAGGTCGTGTGGCGGACGATGTCATTGGAAAGAGCATTCAAGATCTCACGGGAGCAGATACCCGGGCCCAGGTCATGGAGGCGCTGGACACAGCTCGTTCGGGACAACAGGTCTCATTTCTCCACAAGGTCCGCCACAAGAAGGGGCATATGCTGCCCGTGCAGACGACGTTAATACCGGGAGACAGCAAAGAAGGGGAGCGACCTTCTTTCCTGGTCGCTCAGCTACGTTTCCACCGGCCTCTGCCGAACGGCAGCCCGGATGACACAAGCTCCAGCGCCACGGACACAGGGCGAGACGTTGCTGGACAGACAGGGTCAAGCAGCCGGTTACCCTCCGGTATTCAGGAATTGATTCCACTACGCGAGCGCAGCCTCTTCTCCGAGCTAGCACCGACCAGGGGGTCCAGTTGGCAATTCGAGCTACGAGAACTGGAAAAGCAGAACCGCACATTATCGGACGAGGTACAACGACTCCTCACACGACGGAAAAAGCGCAAGCGCAAACAGAGCACAATCATAGTGGAGAAGAGCTGCGCGATGTGTCGAACGAAGAGCACGCCAGAATGGCGACGCGGACCCAGCGGCAATCGTGACCTCTGCAACAGTTGTGGCTTACGATGGGCAAAGCAGGTCCGCAATGCTGCACAGGGACAGACTACAGCAGCCCGAGGGAAACGGGCGTGATGATTCCTATGTTATATTACCCCTTTTTTATTCTATCTCTTGGGTGGCTTTCTACGTTTTAGTGTGTGGCTGTCTGACTTGAATGTGATTTGAGTATGTTGAGCATTTTCGCTATATATGATACGATGATACCTTGTGGGACTTGCTGGATTTGGGGGGAAATGAGAATGGCGTGACGAGTCACGATGAAAGGATGGATGAATGGATGGATGGCGTCGGGGAGGATTCTGTGGACTTGATCGGAGGTGACCTGTACAGTGTATATTAGCTCTTTTATATGCCATGCTATCTAGGATATCAGTAAGTACGGACCGGGATTTATCGGTGATATGCCGGCGAGCCCTGTTAGCCCTGTGGCAAGATGACGAGTCAAAAATGATCGATACTGTCTTGATTGACTAATGTACATATATGCATGCAGTTATATCCACATCCACCCACCCCATCTATCCATATGATACACATAGCAGTGAGTAGTATACAGAGTAGTATAGAGTAGTAGTAGTAGGTAGTATACATCAGCCTTGCCCTACTGTATACTCCCTACTAATTCCCAGAAATCCACCTCTCCAACCACCTCCTCTCCTCCCTCTCAGCCTCCCAACCCTCCCTCACCCCCCCAACACCAACCCCCACACCACCCCTCTCCTCCACCGCAATGCGCACCTCCTCCGCCTCCATCCCAGCCACGCCCCCACCCCTCCGAATCAACTCATCATCACACGCCAAATACTCCGCATACCGTCTCAACCTCCCCCGATACACCACCCGGACCAACCACCCCGGTCTCTCATACGACCTCGCCAACCCCAACACCGCACAAGCCCGCATCACCTCCCCAGCCCCCGCACCCTCAATCCAACTCCTATCCACCATCCGCTTCAACACCCCCATCTCCTCCACAGACCCAACCCCAGGCGGCGTCACCGACCCCGTCCCAACAACCAACGCCTCCCGCTTCGCCCGCGCCCTCTTCTCCCGCTCTTTCTCCAGCTGTCGCGGAATCCGACACGTCAGCGGCGTAATCGCATTCCCCAGCGCAAGCACAGCCAGGGGCGTGAGTTCTCCGCAGATGACCAGGATGAGCGAGAAGGGGATCATGCGGCGGATGTCGTGCGCGGAGCGTCGGAGGAGTTGGAAGTGTGAGCGGTGGAGGTCGTTCGTTTGTAAGGTCTTGTAGAATGGAGTGCTGCTGCTGCTGCTGCTGGCATTCTTGGTAGCTGGTGGTGACAGTGGTGGTATAGAGCTCGGGATATAGGGTGATAGGTTCAGGGTCCGTCGGAGGGGGATCGCGGCGCGGTAGTTGTGGTAGACGTTTTTCAGACCCGTTTTGTAGAAGGTGAGGTATGCGCGGCCGATGGTGATGTAGCGTTTTAGTTTGGAGGATGGGGGGAGAGAGGTGTTTGGGGAGGGGGTGGGTGGGAGGGCGAGGGAGGCGGGTCGGGTGCTCGGGGGTGGGTTTAGAGTGGTGAGGATTGTTGTGGATGTTGATGCTGTTGATGTTTGGGGGGTAGTGGTGGTGGGTTGTGCGGCGGAGGAGGGGCGCGTGTGGGATTTGGTGTTGGTGTTGGATTTGGAGTGTGAGGCGTAGGAGCGTGTTGAGAGGAGGGTGTAGTTGTGGTGGATGAGGCGAGATGCGATGGTCGTGGTGAGTTGGGAATGCGGGCAATTGAGGAGAGCCTGTGGGGGGTGCAGCGCGGGTGGCATTGCGCTGGAAATTGGATTGGATTGAATGGGCCAATTGATGGGTGGTATTCTGTGTAGAGTAGAGAGAGTGGTTGTCAGAGGAAGAAAGAATTGGAGATGAAATGAAGAAGATCCGACGAGATTCCGGGGAGATTGGTGTGAGTGCCTCAGGCAGGAATGAGCTGCCTCGGCTCCCCGCGGGGACCGATGTTAGTATATCTTGCTAGTTCTATATAATCGAGCTGAATGGATAGATCTTCTATAGAATATGCAATTGTTAGCAGAGTGATCACTAGCAACACTGGGAGTTCAACATCATGTAAAATTTAACACATAATATGTTACTAGTATCTAGTATACTATATAATTATTACATTATACAATTAAGATAGTGACTCACGATCACAGTTCAGTTGACAATTACAATAGTTACTACTAGTCCATGACTCACCACCTCATTAGCAAGCAATACTAGTACCCTACTAGTAGTAGTCTAGATTACTACTATATAATAACATACTACTCACTCCCACACGCTCTTCACCACCACAACTCCTTAATCAATCACAACAACAACAATGTCCCAACTAGTAACATTCACCCACCCCACCGCCCTCCTCCTAATCGACAATCAAAACGGCTTCACCCACCCAACCCACTGGGGTCCATCCCGTTCCAACCCCAACTACGAAGCCAACATCCAAACCCTCCTCACCACCTTCCGCAACACCCTCACCACATCCCCATCTCCACCATCACTTCAACAACATCATCACCACGAAATAATCCACATCTTCCACTCCTCCACAACGCCCACCTCCCCCCTACACCCAACCTACACCACTCCCACAGGAGAGCAAGGCATCGACCCTCTCCCCATCTGCAACCCACTTCCCACCGAGAAACAGATCTGGAAACATGTCAATTCCTCATTTATTGGCACCGAACTGGAAGAATATCTCCGCGAGAAGGGGATACGGCAGTTGATTGTGGCCGGGTTGACGACGGATCATTGTGTGTCGACGACGGTGCGGATGGCGGCGAATTTGGGGGTTGTTGATACTAGGGTTAGATCATCTGAGGATGAGGTGGATAAAGGACGGATTATTCTTGTTAGTGATGCCACTGCTACGTTTGCCAAGGGGGGATGGGATGCCGAGACGGTGCATCAGGTGTCGGTTGCGAGTTTAGATGGGGAGTTTGCGGAGGTGAGAGGGGTGGGGGAGGTGGTGAAGGCGCTGGAGGAGTATTCTGCTTCGAACTAGATCTTATATATAGAGGGTGTGGAATTTATGATGATGGTGTGGATGTAGGCTATGATTATTATATCACAAGCCACGGATTAATTGATAGCTACATTACAGGGTCACATCCACCGCAATCATACCCTCTGAAACGAATCCCGTCACGAACAATCTCGCCTTCTTCTGCTGCTGCTCTGGCAACGGAACCAGCACCGCCGCGCTGGCACTCCGGATGCGTGATCCATCGTCCTCAAAAAGCAGCCGGGTCTCCCATTCCGCGGGCGAAGTACCAGCCTTGCGCCGCGTGTACCACACCATCGCGCCATCCTTACCTTGAGGATCAGCGCGCGTCTTGTCCAGGTCCACGCCGCGAAGTAGTCCAGCCTGGACATATCCGCTGGCATCGTCTGTGGCCGTTGCGTACGGATCCTGGTAGTAAGTGGGATTGTCAATGGTGCTGTCAAAGGCGAACTCATCCACAACCGACAGCGTGTGGTCATCCTGCGGCCGCATACGCCACATGTAGCCGCCCACGGCGCTGGTGAGAAGCACTTCTTCGCGCGACGAGCCATGTCCGAGACCGTTGGCGTTCCAGATGTGCTCGAAGGCCACAGTTGCCTTACGTTCCGTGTCAGCTGGGACCGCAGCGAGACTGTCGACTTGGACGTGGATGACAGTGGACCATTTGGCGGCGGGGAGTATGTTCTCGACCGCGCGAAGAGCCCCGTCGCGGTAGCGGTGGTCGTTAGTGACGTAAAATGAATAAGGACTTTCAGCGTAGATGTCGTTGGGGGTGGCTACGAGCGGATGACGGATTGAGCGGACATGCCGGACGGTGCCGGAGTGCAGGACATGGTGGAAGAGCTCGACCTGCGAGCGGGCCTTGGGGATGTCCTTGAGGCCGGGGTGATAGTCCGGGTTGGCTAGGTGGTTCACGGCGAAGATGTAGACGGCGTCTGCGCGCTCCGGATCCTCAGTAACATCGATGCCGTGGGTGATGAAGGGGCCGGAAAAGTTCTCGAATGTGAGACGGGTTGATTTCAGTGTCTGTCAAGCTGGATTAGTTTCTGGTAGCTAAATATGAGTTACACAGAAACACCTACCTGGGGATCAATCACATGGATAGACCCCGTTGTGTCCGCAGGGCCATCAAAATTGACCAAGGGTGGAAACCAGCGGAACCGGGGCACAATTGAATCCTCGCAGGCCGTAAAGAGCTGACCAGACGGATGGTGGTAGTGCAGGTCCTCGCATTGGATGGTATCAGCAATTGGGTGGACAGGGTTACTCTGGGAGCTGCTTGTCTCGCTGGCTGAGCGGAATGCCCCCAGCACTTTAAGCTGGCGGGTCACTGGTCCATACAGCGAGGCGAACAGGACGGCGATAATCGCCAGGTTGATGTAGTTTTTCATCGTGATCAGCCTGTTGATGAGTCGACATGTAATGAGGGAGAAAAAGCAAAAAGGACGAAGAAAAAGCAAACAAGGGAGGGGGGGGGGAAGTACTAGGGAGGAGAATCGAAAAAAAAAATAAAGCGGGGGGCCGAGGTTGGATGAACCGACCAAGTAGATACTCTGTAGCATCATCCTCACCACCACATACTGGAAAATGCGGGGATTGACTTTAACCAAACCTGTCATTGGCGAACCAGCAGCTGGCCATCCTCCACTGTGGACCGACCAGCCAGTCCAGCAGAGACGCCACTGAAGATCGTCGCGGTAATCATCCATGGGTCGGGGTCGGAGTTACGGTCCAAGCTCCTAGTACGAGGTGGAAGGAAGTGAATGAAGTGAAGTAGAGAAATGAGTGCATACATTCAAGCCTAATGCCGAGCTTACAGCCAATTCATCCTTCCCAGGGTTTTCCTTCGCCCACACGCAAATCAAGCTAAGTTAGCAAGTATTAAAAATCACACGCAGATTATTTCATCCTGTCCGATTGAAAAAAGAACTCCTTTGTTTCCCCGTCCAAGAAATCCGTAACTCATGGCCGCCGTCTTCGCTTAGCGCTGAGACTTGGCCTCCAGATATTCCTGGTCACTGGCGTCCAAGATGTCGTACTCCTCGTCCGTCAGCATACCCGCATCTGTCTCGTCCTCGCCCAGTGTCAGACTCTCCATGTCATCAAACACATCCTGCTCCGAAGCATTCGTCACCGACGGGGCGCTGGGGGCCGTGGTGGCCGCCTCGTGTGTGCTGGTCTCCGGAGACTCCTTGGCCAGCTTGGGGAAGATCATCTGGCTTCCTGCAGGCTCCGACTGGGCCTCTGGCTGAGGCTCGACGGTCTTCTCCATCTCCGGTTCCGGTGCACTCACAGCTGGCGGCGGAACGTCATCACGCACGCGCACGTCACACCACAGCCGGTGACCAAAAGGCATGCCGCTGGGCAGCTTCAGCCGCCAGTACGAGATGGCGCTGCCCTGGCGGCTCGGGGTCCTGAGTGTCACGGTAAAGTCCGCACTGTGACCTGGCTCAAGCGGCTCCGAGAGCTTGTTACTCTCCATGGCAGCCGAGATGGCATCCATGCTCAATGGGTGGCTGGTATTTACGTTGAACATCGAATCGCCTCCGACGAACCGCACATCCGTGCCGGCAGGCCAGCTCAATGGGCCGGGGTTGAAGAGGGTCCAGGTCTGCTCAAAGGCGGTGTTGGGCGGCAGCGTGGTGTCATCCGGCACAGTGTCCCGGATGAAGAAGGCTTGATAGCCCGAGGCCGGGTCAGCTGATGTCGGCTGTTCGACCTGAACCGGCTGCTGTGCAACGGAAGTCGGCTGTTCCACCGGGACAGGCTCTTGGATAGACTCTGCTTCCGGCTTGGGTGTCTCCTGAACCGGCTCGACCGGGACGCTGGCTTGGGTGGAAGTGGATTTCTGGGCACGGTCGCCCAGGGCGCAAGTGGCTCCACGGTCTTCGTGGACAGTGCTAACAGAGACGTTGTGCACAGGTGTCTTCAGCATGACCATGGGGTGAGTGCGGTTGTGAGTGTTGGTCGGGTGCACCTCACACTTGGCGCAGAAGTCCGTGTCGTGACACACAGAGCACTTATAGCGAGTGCCTGTGATGAAGCTAGGGCATGGCCTGTTCCTGCACAGAGGGCCGTCGCAGTAGATGCCGTAATGCACCTCATAGCTTTGCAGGGGCTCGGCGATTGCGTCATAAATCGGCGCAAACCGATGACCCGGGTGGTTTTGGGCTGCCTCCTGGTGACACTCCGAGCAGTAGTCCCAATCTGGGCAGGTCAGGCACTTGTGCCGGACGCCAATAATACGCTAAGGTAACGGTTAGCTTTGAGGCAGTCAAATAGAATAGTTCACAACCAACCTTTTCACACCCGTCGCAGATAGCTGCGTGGTGGTGGTGACGTCCAGGTCTGCAGCGAGATTGCACCAGACTCTTCAGGCAGAACTGACGATCATGAAGCAGCTTGAAGGTGTGGGCGGGGTGATGGCCGTGTGTGTCTCTGAGGAGACAAGTGATGCAAATGTCATAGTCAGCGCAGTCAGCGCAGGAAACCATCTTGGTTTCATCGAGTTCTGTTGGAGTTAGTAAATAGTGACAACCTCCTGTAGAGGGAAAGGACATACCCTTCAGGCAATCATTGCAGATGCGTTCCTGAGTGCTTTCAGGAAGTTCGGGAGCAGCAACAGCAGGGACTGGAGTAGTCTCAGACACCAGCTCTGGCACGGATTCCTCGAAGGTCTCTTCTTCTTCCTCTTCTGGTTCAGGCTCCTCACGAGCCTTGCGGGGCTGAACCGTCTCCGTGGTGCTGTTGGTGACCTGGCCGTCCTTGACAAGACGCTTAATCAACCAGTGTTCATCATCGAGACAAGCCACACCGGCCTCGACACACTGGAGACACAAGTCGTAGTCGCCGTCGTCACAGATGCTGCAATGATAGTGCTCGTTCGGAATGGAGCGGCCGCAGTGGTTGCAGTCAATGCAGAAGACCCCATTGGGCGATGCGTGCGACACCACTGGCATGTCCAAGCTGTCCTGACCCAAGACGAAGTCACGGAACTGAGGCTCAGTCGTCTCAGGGGCCGACCAATGGGCGGACCGAGACTCAGCAGGGATGGTGCCGTTGGCGACCTCGGGCAGAGCCGAGGCAGAAAGGGACGCACTAGCAGGAACACTTTCAACTTGAGACTCAGGGAGAGGAGCACCCAAGACAGTCTCGAGGTAACTGTACCTTGACGCATTCTGTTGTTCGGGGAGGTCTGCAGCCAGCTGTGGCTGGGAGCCGGGCTCCCCAACCGTTGTGGCCTTGATCCGCAGCTTCAGTTTAGCCTTGGCAGCGCGATAGAGCTGCTTGTAGACAGCAGGGTTCTCGCTGTCTAGCTGAATATAGCAGCCGGCGCTGTCGGAATAACGTTCAAAGATGACGTTAACATCTTCGGGAACGCCAAGGAGCTGGCGGAGCTGTTACAGATAAGAGACGTCAGCATGAATTGCGAAATCGTTGCGATATTGCCATCCCGTATTATTTTTATCCCCTTGCACAGTAATGATTCGCAGGTGACGCTGAATAAAAAAAAAAAAAAAAAAGAAAATATTCCATCACACATATGGAGCAAGGAGGTGAACACGTGAGCACACTCAGTTGCATTGAGAAAATAAATGATGGGGGGTGGCTATGATTTTTGATGGGGGGCCCAAAGGACCCGTAGCTCCGATCGGAGCTTGAGTGGGGACGAACATACATTCTGGGGAAGCGTGCGAGCTCCGAGCTCTCGCAGAGGAAGCTTGAAGCGTCGAGTATTTTCATTGTAGAGCACTTTGACGGTGATGAGAGAACTGGGGCCCACGGGAGCCGTTGCGGGTGCAGGAGAAGCCATGGTGTCCAGAAGGATGATTGCTTCTTCCTGTTGCTCTGGCTTAAATTTCCCTCTGGCGTGATTTAAGCAGGGATTCCGAGAGATAAGCAAAAAAGGACGCTAATTCGGGAGCGGTAAGCTAGGCGATGGATGGTAGGAAGTACGTCAAGCCAGTGATAGATAACGGTGAGAGTGGTGTTTGTCCCCGTTGGAAGGATAACGAGGAAACCCGAATGGAAAGGATGGGTGAGATGGGGTGTAGTTTTTAAACTAGTAGACTAAATAGAAGGAAGGGGGGGGGAAATGGTGGGATAATAATGTAAATGAGGGGGGGTGTGGGAGGATGGCAAGGTAGACGGTAAGAAGAAGGAATAAGTAAAAAGGGAGAAAAAAAAAAGAGGAGACGGAAGATCGGGAGAGGAGGATTATTGAGGATGGATGGATGATGAGGAGAAGGGGGGGAAGAGATG